TGCAATATATGCTTGGAGCTTTACCACTTTAAAGAGCTTTTAGAGATCCAAAATGTGTTCCCAGTTTTCCCCACGGATACCAAGGCATGCACCATAAACATTTGGGCGTGATGATAATATTGTCATGATGTCACTATGATGTCATTGCGAAGTGTCATCCAGCTTTGTTAGTTATAATAGTTTGGCAAAGTCTTCAGAAATAAAAGAATAAACACTAAGCAGGTATTGTTTGCATATTGTTTCGCTCAGTTGTGGATGTGTGTAGGCAAAAAAAGTCATACTTTAGCCTTGCATGTGTTTGTAAAGGATGTCCTGTTAAATAGAAATTAACATTCAAATGAAACAGGACTAACAGGAAGTGCTTTTGATCCATGTGTGAGACTTTTGATACTTTTGATAGTTGATACATATCAAGACAAAAAGGAAGCATCAAAAGAAGAGTTGCTTTCTGTATTGAATTTGAATAATGAAAAGACTGTATACTAAAAAGAATGACAGGAAATGTGTTTCCGTTGAGTTGTCCTTACAAGCTGCTTGCAGAAACATACAATGCAGCCGATTCACAAACAAATGAATATTGTTAGCAAGTTATTTTTTTTATGTAATGAAACATATACAGCACAATAAGTGTAGTTTTTGGGGTCTAAAAAAATTACAGATATTTTTAGAAAGGACTTGAAGACTTATTTATTTCATCAAGCTTTTGGCATTTGATTAGGTCTGAGAACTGTGAATGATTTGTGGTTTGATTATCTCGGTGTCATGTCTTGATGTATTTTTACGTCTCTGTGTATTATTTATTGCCTTTGGACACTTTGGTCCATTTTAATGGTTTTGAAAGTGCTTTATAAATAAAAATTGAGCTGAGTTGAGTCTACTATAATAGGTTTTCATGCTTAAAAAACACATGATTCTTCACGTCATTGTTGCAGCTCCTCTCTTCTCAGTTTGTCAGTAACGCTGCGCTTAGTTCCTGTTTCTACGAAGCCCCTTCTTTTGAAAAGCTCAATTTGCTCTGATTGGTTGGCTGGACCAGTTTGTTGTGATTGGTAAACCGCTTTGTGCGTTTGGGAAAAACCACACCCCTTACCATAACCGCTAGTTTCAACACACTTCTAACTAACTCAACCAGGCCTTGCCTCTTTTTTGCATAACTGCCTTGGACAGCAATTATTCAAATGAGGAATAATGTGACATATTCATTCCTGGATGAAAACTCAAGACTACAATGGAGGCGTTTCAGGGAGTTCAGAAACAATGTGCACTGATATAGACTTTGTAACTTTACAGACATTTTCATTGCTAAAGCAGCAACATACACACTATAAAGAAAGTTAAAAATGTAAAAACTGCAATATAGGACCTCTTTAAGAGTGAGACAGCTGAATCTTGACTGTAAATATTGCTTTTGTAGAGCCGTGATCGATGCGTCTGGGCATCTCTTCTCCATTCGTGATCAATGCAGATGGCCTCTTTGGCTGGTGGCCATCTTAAATCACCTAATTAACTTAGTATTTTCTCTATACTGCGAGTTGAAATCAATCAAGTCTATTGAGAGAATGGATGAAACTTTTCCATTCACCATAATCATGAATCTAGCGAAAATGACTGAAATCTAATGCAAGCGTGTTTTTAAGGGTGCATTCCCAAGGTTTCAGAGATTTGTGTGTGTCGTTGTGTTTGCATAAGTGCTGTGTGTGTATGATTTGTAGCGTGTTTGCAAAGCAGCTCGATGTGTGCTGCGAGCACGCCCTGCATTAAACCTCAGCAGGAAGTCTTGCCTTTTTTTCTCTCGTTACACATTACAAACACCCACTTCATTAAGAGAGAAGTCTACATCCTCCTGGTTTAGAGGATGGTGTGTTTGTCTGTGAGGAGATAGACGTAGTCGAGGAGGAAACCAGCTGTCCGGTTGCCTTTGGCTCTCGATGTCTTTGTTTACAGAATCAGTGGATTGCAGAGGAAATTCATTCTGTTTATCTAACTTGCAAATCCGACCCAAAACAAAACAGCTGCCCCTCAGGATGAGAAAGGCTCATGTGTTGGCACATTTCTTCTTCTTCTTCCTGTTCTGCTGCTTCTTCAGTGTTGTCTCTGTCCGTTCGTCTTCTTCTGTCTCTTTGTCATATTTTCCTTGCTCTTCTTGCTTTTCCAAAACATCAAATACATGCTTGAAGACTTTTGTTGTTTATCTAATTTGCGAATGTTCTTCTTCAAGTTCTTGTGTTTTTCTTTAGATCTTTTTCATCATCATCAGCATCGACTTCTTTCTCTTATTATTATTTGTCTTCCCAGCAAACAAATTTAGGTTCTGGGAATGTTCTGGGAACGTTAGTTTTTGGTTCCCAGAACATTCCTAGAACGTTCCCTTCAGGTTTATAAAAATGGAACCTACATGGAACGTTCCTATAACGCTCTTGTTTGGTTCCCAAAAAAATAATGGGTCCTCATGGGACCATTCAGGAACGTTAGGAGAACGTTCTGTGTTTGCTGGGTTAATGCTCATTGATTTTCTTAGCTTCTCCTTTGAGGATTTTGCAGCTTCTTCTTTAGAATCATCTTCCTTTTCCCCATGTTTTCCAACTTCTTTTTCTCTTTTTATTCATTGTATTCATCATCTATTTCATGTTTCATTGTCTTCATGTACTTCAGCTTCCTCTTACCTTCTTCTTTCTTTTCTTCTTTTCCCAAACAGATTGATTAATGTGCAAAATAAATGTGTTCTGTTGCACATTTTCTAATGATCTTCTTTAGATTCTTCAGTGTTTTTATGTTCCCCTTCTGTATATTATTTATCATCTTCATGTTTTCCAGATTCTTCTTGGCCTACTTGAGCTTCTTTTAAGACTTCCTTTTCAAATTCTTCTTTGTTCTTTTCATTTTACATCAATTTCATCTTGCTTTGTCTTCATATTCAGATTGTTCTTAGTCTTCTACACCTTCATATTATTTAGCATCTTCATGTTTTTGTTCAGCTTTTACAAAACACATTGCGGAAATTCATCCTGCCTATCTAACTTGCAAATCTCACTAAAAACAAAGCAACTGTTCCTCAGGCCAAGACAGGGTCAGCACGTCTCTAATGGACATGTTTCTTCGTCTGCAGCTTATTTTTATTCTGCTTGCTTTTCCAAAACACTCTGGTTCTGTCTTGCTCATGATTGGTCAATATGGTCTTTGGTCTGGTTTTTCAGATGTTCACCCATCATCCACATCCTCCTCAGAAGGCAGACTCAATGGAAACCGGGTTTGGAGGGATAGCTGGAAATCTTAATTCCTGTTGAGTGGACATTCACATGAGGCGTGCCCACGGGCACACACTGCCTCTCTGTTCCCTCACTGAGTCATGACATTAGCAGTGAGCCCAAAGTACCAAAGCCCTCCATATTATTCTACATTCATTAGCTCAGAACATGACTGTTATCAACAACAGACATTAGGGAAGACGCACAACTGGCTTTCTGTCTCTCTGTCTCTTCGTGTTCTCACCCAGATCCAGGAACACACAACACCACAGTGATTTGTTAATCTTCACAATTCATTTCCAAATCCAGAAATTGAATAAATCATGACAGGAATTCCATGTCACACAACATGTGAAAAGGCTCTCTGTGGCACTGCACAATGAAGCATTTAAACACTATATTTAGCTCTCCTTTTATATACAGTACTAAAAGACAGATTTTGGTTGTCTTCATGAAGAGGACATTGTCCAAGAGGTCAGGCCGGCTGCTCCACATTGCTCTGTGAAATTCCTCTGCCTACTGTGCGTGTATTGCTCCCTGTAGAATTCGCATGTTTCATTCCCACACAACTGGGCATGCACAACTGGGACCGCTTTCTCTCTCTCTCAAACAAAGGAAATGGAAAGTTTTTGTGTTTATTTTCTTGATGTAAATTATTATTCATCAAAAAATTTTAGCAATTAATAAACAGCTGAAAATTGCATTAACTTGCTGTGTTCCATTCATCTTGTTTTGGCAACAGAACAAATTAGGAAGTTAGACTTCCAATCAGAGATTACATTAGTTATCAAATAAATACTATTATTATTGTGGATTTTATCTGCTCATTGGAAATACATCTTTAAAGGAGTAGTTCACTTTGAAAAAAAAAACTTTTGCTGATAATTCTCACTCCCCGCCATGTCATCTAAGATGTCCATGTCATTCTTTCTTCAGTCGAAAAGAAATTAAGGTTTTTGATGAAAACATTCCAGGATTTTTCTCCATATAATGGACTTCAATGGGAACCAAATGGTTCAAAGCCCAAAAAACAGTTTCAGTGCAAACTGCAAACAGTTCAAAGGGCTTTAAACAATTCCAGAGGATGAATAAGGGTCTTATCTAGTGAAACCATCGCTCATTTAAAAAAAAAATTTATAAGCACAAACGGTCGCCTTGCTCTGTTCTGTGATGCGTGTTCGTTACTTTCCTATTTGAACTCGTTCATAAATATGAACGAATCTTTTACCGAGTCAACTCGTGCATTTCGTTCGTTGAATGAACCAAATGACATGAAAAAATATTTGTTCATTTTGATGAACAAATTCGAACAGGAGAGTCACGAACGTACATCACATAACAGAACAAGGTGACCATCTGAGCTTATAAAACTTTTAAATGAGCGATTGTTTCACTTGATAAGACCCTTATTCATCGTCTGGAATCGTTTAAAGCCCTTTGAACAGTTTGCAGTTTGCACCGCAACTGTCTTTTGGATCTTGAAGTGTTTGGTTCCCATTGAAGTCCATTATATAGAGAAAAATCCTGGAATGTTTTCATCAAAAACCTTAATTTCTTTTCGACTGAAGAAAGAAAGACATGGACATCTTGGGTAACATGAGGGTGAGTAAATTATCAGCAAAAGTTTTTTTTAAAAAGTGAACTACTCCTTTAAATGGACAAACTCATCTTATAAGATAATATGTAGAAGATAAAGTGAGATACATTACTCTGTTATATGTTTTCTTGTATGTTTATTGTGTCTTTTCTTGATAGTTCTCCTGCCGTGGTTGTCATGTTTCAATGTGGACGAGAAGAACAAGATGTCATTCAGTGGACCAGTGGAGGACTTGTTCGGATACACCATCCAACAATTCGAGAACAGTGAGGGAAAGTGGTAAGCTACATATTATTTCTATAAATGCTCGACACCGGATGTGACTGTTGATGTGTCGCATTGTGCCGTGCTACAACAGGTAGAAGCTGTCTAAATTTTGTCCTTCCTATGAGAAGTATCGTGAGTGCTTGAAATGCATCAATAATAGTATGAGGCATCAGTGTCTGGGATATGTCATGTAGTTTGACCCATATCACTGATTATAATGGGGTCTATTGTCTTTTGTCGCACCGCTCATTTTAAATTTAATTTATTTTTAAGAACCTTTTGATATGAAAGTTTGAAAATCTGCCCTTTATGCAAGTAAGCAGTTAGAATATTCACCATTCAAAATCGAACTGACTGCAATGTCATTGTATGTATTTTATTTACATACTGAATTATGATTGGTCTTTGATTCCTCTCTTTACCATTGTGCACACTCAACAAAAGGAATACAGAATTTTATTTACTGTACATCATATTAAAAATACTCCATGATAATGCTAAAATTGTCATGGTAAACCTGAGCACCACTGATGTAGTCTGCTTTTGTAATGGCTCTTGTTTTTTTTCTTCTAATAAAGACATCAAGCTAATGCACTCAGGCCTGCTAACTCCATTAAGCATATAAATAAATGGAAAGGATTCCCTATTGTAGGAAATAGTTCCACTCAGTAAAACCTTAGTGAATTCAGACATCTGTAGCCTCTTAAAAACTGGTCCAGCAGCAGGTTTTAGCTCTGCTTGTAAAGGTTAACCTTCTACCTCCAGAGAAACACCTCAGCTGGTGTGAAAACCCCAAGACAGCTTTACATAAACCTCTCACAGGTGGCCTTGACTGAGGTAGAAACCTTTCCAATAATCTGTTCACGGTCGTTATATTATTTGACTGAAGTGATTTGGATAGATTTTACAGAATAAGAGGTTTTTTGATGATCAAAATAACAGCAAAGTTGAAACAGAAAAATTTGATTAATCTCAAGCTTGAAAAACCATCAATCCATCCATCCAGAATGTGACTTTTATTTGGTTTGTTTCTCACACAAAGCTGTCATAGGACATCAGAAGACTTGGAATAGTTGTCCATGGTGTTTTTTTGGTGCCATTTTGGCTTTTTCGTTTGACTTGACAGCCCATTCACTGTCATTGTATGGAAAAGAGCAGCCAGGATTTACGCAAAATTTCTCCTTTTGTGTTATACGGACGCAAACCACCACAGAACTCTGTTTTTCTCTCGCATTAGCGAGTTTCTGTTTCACAATTCGGACTTTATAACCTGAAATGTGTCTCTTTTTCAGAATTGTGTGAGAAAATTGCAATTACCTTTTTCATTTTTTACTCCATGACGGCAACAAGCTTCCATAGATTTGAATATTAAAGGATAACAAAATTAGATTAAAAAAAAAAAAAAAATCAATCCCTCAAATATATTGTAGACTATAAGGTGACCGGTGTCTGTTGTAAGCAGTGAAGATTGTGTTGTATCCACTGCTGTGTCAAGGCCCATTTGTGCACAGGAATGTTAATGACTTGACTTGTTTACATGCTTATACAAGGATGTCTACTTTTAGCACTGTTGTCAAAAACCTCCATTAGAAATCTGAGGAACACGGCGAATGTTCTTCATTTAGCTAAGTGCACTCAGATGTACCACAGAACATAATGAAACCTAAACAGCCTTACGTTATCTCACGGTAAAGCACATAAATCACAGTGGGGTTCAAGGGTAAACCATCACATATCCGTCAATATAGTAGTCAAACTCTCTCTAACTGTTTTTGTGATGAAAAAAAGAAACTCTTTGCTCCCCCTCATACTGACATTTCACATATGTTCCATTTAACTGTAATATTTAAAAATAAGCATGTGCATATTTATGTTATGCTTTTCTTTCCCACTGGAAAACTGGCGAATCAATCAATCAACTGCACTTTGGCTCAGCGGGCTTCCACTTTCTCACAAATCCCAAAGGTTTGTTTTGTGGTCAGGGATTAATGACCCCATTCTCTACTTCCTGCTTTTTTTTTTTCCTGAAGGGTTCTGATTGGTTCTCCTCTTAACGGACAGCCGGCCAACCGGTCCGGAGACGTTTACAGGTGCCCCGTGGGACAAAACAAAAGTACTGGATGTGAAAAATTCAGTTTGTCAGGTGAGAGGTGTCCTTCCTGTTAGCGGTAATGCAATTTGTGTTTTTCCATGGACTATTTTTGCTCATTACTGTGTACTCTTTGTTTGTATTCACTGTGTTTATACCAGAAAAAAAAAAAAACGTTTACAGGAAGGGGTGACAGACATTACCTCAGTTGCTCTGAAATTGTCATAGCTTCCAAATTGGCACTTTGACTCAAACATTACTGCTTGACTCAAGGGTACTAGTGGATTTCAGAAGGGAAGTATGCCATCCACCGACATGGCACTTTGGTTCATGAGTGTACAAACTCCTCCAGATTTGTAAAACAGGTTGTGAAATCATTTTCCTTTTTCTTTAATTTCCAAAATAACACACTTCCTCGGTGCATTTCCTATAAAGTCAACATGAAACTGTTTACTTTCTAAATGCACGTACTTGGTCGTATTCCACATCATTACCTCTTTTTGATCAATCTTTTAAATGTAGTCTATTTTCCTGTCAAATTGATTCATTTTTAGTCAGTTTTCTTTTTATTAACAGTACGAATGCCCACTTTTTAACAATCCTATTAAGCACAAATTTCAACATTGACAATAAATAAATATATACAACGGTTATTTGAAATTATATTGACATGTCTTGCCATTGTATTTTTAAAACAATAATATCTAACTAAAGACCTTAAGTAATATTGACATACTGTATATCATTTGAAAGCTTACAATCTCTCGTTTCCATATTTGGTGAATGATTTTCAAAATAAATTACACAGGAGCTGTAATTTATCAATTTGCAACAAGAATATTTTCATACTCATAAAGTTCAGACCTTTATTTTGAAATAGCGATGTAAAAATTGAAAATTGAAAAATCATGAAAAAAGGTAGAAACCTCAGTTTGTTTTAATGCCAAGAGTTCAAAAGATTGCATCCATTCAATTATTTTAGAAAAAAAAGGTAATGGAAATGTTTTAAATATTATGAAAAAAATAATAAATTCACCATTTGTGATGTGGCAATAAGCTGTAACGTGCATGCGTGTTGTTTGTATGTGTTTCTTAGAGGTTGAATTCAAAGCAAAATCTGACAAACTTCCCACACTACTTCTGAATAGGATTTCAACTTCATAAATTGTATGAAAATTGTGAAAATAATGGTTCATATCACTCAAAACACATATGGAAATGGAGGCGCCCTTATATGGGCAGTAATGGAGTCTGGTTGTGCCCTAGTGAACAAGTTTGGTACTGCGCCCAAACAAAATTTCACATAAAGCTCATTTTTTGAGATATCAACCTAAAATTTTAAACACAACTTGTTTAGATTTTTGGCTTTGATTTTTCTGCAGTTTTAGAGTAGCCCAGGTTTTGAAAATATATATTTTATATAAAATATGAATATATATTTTTTTACATTGTACATTTCCATAAACTCAAACTTCTATAGCCTAACTTTTTTTCTGTTTCAGTTCTGTTTTCTTTAATGACTTGACACCATGATTGTATCTTTTAACAGATGCACTGAACTGAAACATCTAGTTTCCCCTTTCTAGGTGTTATTCTGAGAATAGAAGAGGACAAAAAGTCTTCATACTGATGGCCAGAGAGACTTTGACCTGCTTTTACTGCTTCTGCCGACTTTTATTTAGCTGATGCTTTTATCTGAAGCTTCTTACAAATGAGGAATGATACATTTCAAGCGATTCACTACAAGTGAAAATAACTAGTAGACTAGAAAACTAGAAAATAGCTAATACAGAGGACCTGAACAAATTTTCATTATTGAGTTAGTATAATAGAAATTAGTAAATGAGACTCAGTGTGCTCAACCCATTTCACACAGGGTCCCATTCACACAGCGTCTTACAGTAGCGTCTTAAATACTCAACAGGAGTCAAGCACGTATTCTCTAAGAGAGTATTTTTGCATCACTGCACATTTTGGTCGATGATAATGTGTGTTGTTTGTAAGACTCATTAGCCTGTAGTGTTGCTCTGCTTGTGTGTTTGAAACCTCTGCCTGAATGCCTGACCCTCAGAGGAGGCCTAGACAGGAAGTGATCCATTAAAACATTTTAATGTCTAAACTGAACATAATTACACAATCTTTCACCAGATAACTCAGTGTTGCATGTCGCCTTTCTTCAGGGATCTACCTTAACATGAGGCACTTCCAAGAGGAACTCTGACGTCAGAATGGATAGCACTTGAATCCCTCAGTCATTTCACTTTTTTTTAAAAAAAAAATCTTAAATGGACAATGTTGATTTTTTTATGGTTTGACAGTAAGATCTTTTTTTCATGACAGACCCTGTGGCTTATTGTACATTGTTTTCACATCAGTTGATTAAGCAGGAAAGGACATAAACACTGTAAAAATGTTCTTTCCCCGATTAAGCCCCACATAAAATTTAGTTTTGTCCGATCTGCCTATGGGAAAATGCTGTGTATTTGTTTAGATATTCTTTTCATAGGACTTAACACTGGGAGTGCATATTTGTCTATTTTTCTTACAGAAAACACAACAATTCCGAACATAAATGAAGTCAAGGAAAACATGACTATGGGGACGACGCTGGTGGTTAACCCGGACGGCAGTGGGTTTCTGGTAGGGAACATCTACAGATGTTTCTTATACACTTTTACTTTAGCCATGGCTACTTTTTCAATCATTACATTAGAAAAAACCTTCTGGAAACACTCTTTTAACATTTTAGTTTATGTTTATAATTATAGAACAGCCAATGACATGCTGGTCGTATGTGTGCATTTCTTTGTTTATATTTTTATGACTGAAAAAATTGCAATTTGTGATTGCAGTTAACAAAAAAAAAATTCAGCTTTTCTAGTGGTCAAACAATCCTAGAAAAATGTATAATTTGGACTCAAACCTAATGGGATCAAACCGGAATCCTCTACGAGTCAAATGTAATCTGATTAAGTAAACTGACATTTTGGGAAAAAAAAAAGGAAAAGTAGGAATTTCATTTTATCCTGTAGGATCTGTTTTAACCCATTAGGATTGGGTTAATTATTATGATAAACATTCCAGGAGCATTCTTTTAGGATTTTTGGATGAAGTATATCTCTGTACGAGTAGACATCGACTTTTCACCATCAAGATTTTGTAAAAGGGAAAGTTTGTTTTTAGTACGTTTTTATCGCCTTTTTATTTTACTTGTTTATTTAAATGGTCCTGGAGTGTGACAAATGAAGTTTTAAAAGTAAAAATGAAGTGGAGTTCAGCTTGTCACACCTAAACATTCCCATGTAGTATTAAGCTGTTTGACACGTTGTTTATAACAGTTTCCAAATGCAGTTTCAACCTCCATATGCTGCAAAGGACTGAAACAGAAATAGTTTCAGATAAACATTACAAGTTAAATAATTAATTGTGCTAGGTAAAGCTATCAATTCTCAACAATTAAAGCCGAAATATGGAGTCACGCCACAAAACTATTTGTGTACTGTATATATGAGGAGAGTTACATGTCATGTCAGCTACTCTCTCTCACTCTCTCTCTCTCTCTCTCTCTCGCTCCCTCTGGACAGGCCTGTGGTCCTCAGTATGGGTACATGTGTGGAAAGCAGCAGTACATCACTGGGATCTGCACAAACGTCAGCTCCTCCTTCAAAGTCCTCAACTCCATCGCTCCAACTGTGCAAGGTACGATACACACGTGTTGTGAGTGTACATTAGCGCATTCCAGCCATGTAAACCACAGCCGGTCGCCCTTGCCTCGCATGTCCATGTTAGGACAGAGTTTAGGAAAGCTGACATCTACCAACGCAACATGGAGCTAGTGACTCATCATAAACACACACATACATACTGAATGAAGTGTCATAGCAACAAGGAACTTCTCGCTCCTCTCATTTCATTTGAATTATGAGTTATCATATTGATTCTGAGGCAAATAGCTCTGGTTAGCATTTAGACACACATACTAAGCCTGTATTTGCATAGACACATGGTCCTTTCTACAGAATTTGTTGGAAGTTGAAAACGTCTTGAATTTTCTTTTTCCATAAATGTTGTATTCGCAAATTGTATAATATCCAAGGTACACATTGGATACAAGATACAGTGACAATTTAACCCTCCTGTTACCCTAAAATCTGATAACATTTTTTACCCACTGGGGTCAGTTTGACCCCAGTAATTTAAACCTCCACAATGTTTTTTTTTTTTTCACAAAGGTTTATCTCAGTTAATTTATGTCTTTGTTGACTACTTAAGTAACCTTTTAAGTTGACAATAACCATAGACGATAACCAGCACATGGTTAACTAGCACAGTTCTGAACAGTTGTACACACAAAAAAACTAAATTTTATAGAATAACCACCTAAAAAGTTTGCCTAATTGCAGAAAAAAGGTGTTTGCAAAACACATTTTGTTACATAAAGTTTAATGGTTTAAAATAATATATATATATATATATATATATATATATAATTTTATTTATTTATATTATTTTTTTTAACAACAATGGAAAAAATACCAAATCATTTTCACAAGTTGAAATTTATAAGGGTTAGGGTTCGGGACAGCCACATCCCAATTGAAAGTAGGCATACACAATAAATGATGATTTGTTAAACTTAATGATATTTTTCAATAGATAATAGAATGATATTTGTAAACATCTAAGATTTGAATACTTAAATGATTTTTAAATGTGTTTTTTTGGTTGTTGGATAGCAGTTTGCCCCAATTCTGTAGAATGGCCCATATACAAACTACACTCTAAAACAAATGTTGCTAAATAGCACTAAAAGTGGTTCATTGGCTTGTAATCATAGGGAAACCACTTTAAGTGCCATATAGCACTTATCTTTGTCATATGGTGCAATGTAGAACCAAAAGAGGTGCCATAGAGCACGTTAACCACCACAGAGAACCACTGAAGAACCACTGAAGAACCAAACTGGGCTTAACAGGTTCTTTGTGGTGCTATATAGCACCATGACCACCGCAAAGAACCCCTGAAGAACCACTGAAGAACCTTTTTTTTTTGTGTATATTGAGTTTCTGATGAAAGGTCACATAAGCTGTGGTTAATCACCACTTTCTTATTTCCCAACGAGGTCACTATCACGTCCAATTTCATAAATGTCATGCTCAATATATTTTATAAGTGTGCTATGTAATGTGTTTCCTATATAAACCCACCAGTGGCTGTTGGCCTTCAGCCTTTCTGTAATTTAAATGAAAGCAATGTGATATTTATTTCTCTTTCTCACCGGTATAATTATAATAAGGTCCTCATTAAGTTGGTTTGCTTGTTTCAGAGTGCAAGCAGGACATGGACATTGTCATAGTGTTGGACGGTTCCAACAGCATCTACCCCTGGGATCCCATCACTGACTTCTTGAAAAAATTCCTCCAGAACATTGAAATCGGACCAGCCCGGGTGAGATTTTTTTGGATTATAATGCTTTGTCGAACAACCTTGCAGTCTTGCTTTGAAATACCTTAAAAATCACACCAGTTTAAAATAAAATATTCACTTACTGCGTCAATGGATGTTTAACAAATTGTATGAACAAATGTTGAAGTATTTTACTTTGATACTTAAGTACATTTTTCCTAGTACTCCATCAGAGTATTTCTATTTTGGGAAACTTGTGTTCATCTAGTCTCATCCAGTGTCATCATCTTATATTAACATCATTACAAGGACTATTATATAAAGACTTTCCATGAGAAGCTACTGGGTGGTTTGATTCTAGGGAAATAAAGGCTTTCTTGAGCACGCCGCTGGAAAATACGGCTCCAGAACGCTGAGACCACATATTCCATGGCTAAATAAATGGTCAGAGTTTTTTTTTTTTTTTTTTGAGAGGTTCACATTTGAATCAGCATAGACACAGACATTTAGCAGAGAGTGTCTGCGGGCCACCCAAACTGTCCATGTTTGGTAGCACCACCTGAACTTTCTGTGTGTGTGTTGTTTTTGCTTCTCCAGGTGGGCATCGTGTCGTACGGGGATGATGTCGGCCATGTCTTCAATCTCAGCCAGTTCAGTAACAAAGAAGACCTTGTTAATGCCGCCGGCAAAATACCTCAAAGAACTGGCCACAAAACCATGACAGCTCTCGGCATTGATATAGCAAGGTGCTGCACACCGTTCAGTCCTAAAGTCTGAGGCCACAGTGAAAATATCACTCAATCTTCTTTAAAGTTGGAATTTAGCTAAAAATTTAAAAACAAAGTTTTATAATAAACTGTCTGCTGAATAACAAAAAGGGCACTAAGAAATAGAAAATCTGAAATTTGTTTGTTTTTAATGCAAGTTGTTACGCTGATAATATAATTTGTAATGAAAACAGATGTATTACATCATGTTGATTAAAAGTCATTTTCACTGGTTGGTCTCAGACTTTTGGACCCTGATGTATTTCAGAAAAAATAATCTAATAATAATAATCATTTTCAAGGCGTCTATTCAGATAAAGGAAGTCTTAAACATTGTGCAGACTCTTGACCTGATGTTGCATGTTTTCTAAAGGAAAGAGGCCTTTACAGTGGAGCGAGGAGCAAGACCAGGGGTCAAAAAAGTCATGGTGATCGTCACAGATGGGGAGTCGCATGACCACTACGACTTGGAACGTGTCATAAAGGAATGTGAGGACGATGGTATTGAAAGGTTTGCCATTGCTGTAAGTACATTCATCCATGTATAATTATAAAAAGCAAATAACAAATACTGTGCTGCATGGATTCAGTGGTTTCTGTAGGAAAAAATATATAGAAGCAATAGACTGTTGTATGGCACATGTCATTTTTCTTTCATAGGTCCTTGGCGACTATAATCGGCAGAATAAAACCACTGAAGAGTTGAAGAAGTTTATTGACGAAATTGAATCCCTTGCTAGCAATGACAAAAATGACCATTTCTTCAATGTGTCAGATGAACTTGCTTTAGTGACCATTGTCGATGCCTTAGGAAGCAAAATCTTTGCCTTGGAGGGTAATGTACCTAATGCATCACGATCATTTATTTATTTATTTTTTTAGATCCCTAACCTTAAGTACTATAACACATGAGTGGACATACGATTTTCACATGGTAGATGAAGAATCTGGCTAAAAAAAGAGAGACTGGACTGGACCCGAGTCATATTTAACAGTAGCCAGTCTTAAAGTTTAGTACTTAAAGACTGGTTAATCTTTTTAAAGTCAGTTTCATAAAAAAAAGGATTCTGTTTTGAACCTGAAAAGTAAGAATGATTAGCCCTATAACTAACTGCTTGTTTTTTTGTTTTTTTTCAGAACTAGTACAATTCTAGTTATACAGTATAGCCTAATTCTGAATATGACTTTTTTATGTCAAATGTTGTAATTTCTTCATTAAATCTGTGTAAAAAAATGTATGTCTTTATACCCAACAGCCACATCGGGGAAGCACACCTCCTCCTTTGAGATGGAAATGTCTCAGTCTGGATTTAGCGCTCACACATCAAAAGTAAGTGTTAGGTCAGTCTGCTCTTGTGAATATGGTGATATAGATCAGATTACATCAGATGCAGTTCTCAAATTTACCTCATTCTAACATCTTGCTGCTGAGGTCTCATGTGTAGCGACACAGGAAACACGCACACAGCTCAGTGTTAGCTGTGAATCAGAAAAGGAAGAGCTCTCTGAGTGTGTCAATGTGTCACATCCTTTCTCAATTTTACTGACGACAGTGTTACTTTAGTAACACATTTTCAAATGCGTTGCTGGGAAATCATAAAATATGTCATAAAATATGAACGGAACAAATTTTGTATTAATTGTCTGTAGAAACATTTTTAGAAAAGTTATCTCATCCATTGCTGCATATTAAATGGTAAATGTTATTTCTTTAAAAATGCAAAAATCGAGGTTTGGGTGAGGCAATTACAATGTGAATGGGGCAAAATGTTTGAGGTTTTAAAAGCAGAAATATGAAGCTGATCATTTTATAGAAGGACTTTTATTAAAGCTACACTGTGTGATTTTTACCCCCATCTAGCGGTGAAAAGGTATATGACCATCCAGTAAATATTATTTTCTGTTCCTCTCAATTCCGATTTCGTTTTAACTCCTACGGTGGCCAATGTAGTCCAAGATTAACATGTCTTCCAGTTCGACCTCGTCCATGAGTGTTAACTCAAACGTAAACGCGAAAGGCGAAGCTTGAATTAACGGGTATGTCCCTCTTTGGCTAATGACATTAGAACCCCTTACCCGTATGTATTTTCAATGGCATATTATACACTCACGAGAATACTTTATTTCTTGAACGAAGTAAATATACATTAATGAGCACATATATTTTTGAAAGAATTAAGTGTTTTTAGCTAAGAATAAACTAAAAGAGTTACACAGTGTAGCTTTAAGGCCTAAATGAATTCTTCAGTTTAAATGTCTGTATTATTGGATTAAATCATAATTTTTACAGTCAGTTTAGGCAATGCATTGCCATGGATTTTAATATTTATGGATTGGCTTAATTCACTTCCATTGCTGATCAAATGTCTAATATCGTAAGCTGAAGCTCAAACATGCTTTCTTGACTTAAATATTGATCTTGTCATTTTCCTGTAATATATGTCTTTCTGACAGGCAGGTGTTATGCTAGGAGCCGTGGGTGCTTATGACTGGAATGGGACTGTTGTGATGCAAACTGGGAGCGAGTTTGTCGTTCCAAAAAAAAACACCTTCCATGACCCTAAGGTGCAGAGGTACGAAGGCATGGCGGGATACGTAGGTAAGAAATCAACATTTAACCAATTCTTTTGGGTTTGCCAGTCTTATTGATAATAAGAGTCGAGAGTGGAGAGAAAATGATGCAGGAAGGGAGAATTGTAGAAAATGTCATCACAATCGTCATATTTTGAACTAATGTCACCTGTATGAGTACCACAGATCAGTGTGTTTGAGATTGTGTCCCATCCCTGGAAACAACAGCTTAGACTTGGCTTTGTCACAGCATTGGCAACTAGCTACACCTCGGAACTTCAAACCTAATTAAGGCATGTTAAGTTTTGGGCCAAGGCCATGAATGATTATACTTCTTAGGTACCAATAGTCAAAAATAAAAATGCTGTATGTGCATATAATGTTACATGCTTCATAAAATTAGTCTCATAGAGGCAGGGAAGCTTATTATTGATGGGAAGACAGTTGTGGTAGTAGTCTAAACACATTGTCACAATCTTCTGCCATCCCATAAACACTCACACGGTAAGTGCAAATGCTCACACTCTGCACATCCCCTTTTAAGGATGTTGCTCCAGAGTGAAACAAAGGGAGTGACTTGAAAAAACTCTGCCTGATAAACGTGTTTGGAGAACTAGCTGCGCGGAAGCGGCGTTTCGCAAATGTTGATTTGAGGAAAAAGATTTACAATCAGTCAAGTTGGTTTATTCTAACATTACTCCCAACAATGTCGGTGTCCTTGGTAATGAAACAGTTTATGATTTCAGCCCCAGCTGTTTGATATTAAGTGTGCAGACTACTGTAAATTGTTTTAGAGATTGGCTTAGCTGTGTGGTAGTAAAGGTTGCAGTGTGGTTGTGCTTCCAGGTTATGATGTGCAGTCAGCGTACACACCCAATGGAGTGCTATACATCACAGGAGCACCACGGTTTAACCACAGCGGGCGTGTCTTGGTGTACCGCTTCGACGGAGAAAATTTCACCATAATACAGACGTTAAAAGGAGAGCAGGTACATATTCATAATCACAATCTCAAGCAATTTTGGGTGGATCTCTGATAAAAATAGATGACATTCACCCCTAAATCAAAAAGAAATAAAGAAATTAAATGTTTTAAATGAATAAATTCAACATTAATTGTAAAACCCCAATCTCAAAAGAAAATAGACATTTAATAAGAAGAACGGGGGGGATCTGGTGTGTAACAAGCACAGCTGGGTCAAGAGCAGGGAGAGCGGAGCGAGACTGGTGGCGCGAGTGCTAATGAACATCACTTACAAGCCCCATGGAGGAGATCTAGAGTGACAACAGTGAAGGATGAGAGAGGACCAGGCCTGGACTTTCAGTTAAAAGTAGCTGGTTCTCATCTTCCCTTATCAATGAACTTTGTTACATGGTGGTAGTTTGGTTAGACCTGGACAACATTTATGGCTCGATGCCCCACAAGCTGGTGCAGGAAACACTAAAAAGGCACCAAGTTTCAACCTCAGTTGGAAGATACCTCATCCTGGATTGCTACAGTGACTTTAGCCTGAATCTCTTCAGGATCAACAACATCAGAGTGGCACCGACTGCATGTGGGAATCATCATGCACTGTACCATCTCAGTGATCCGTTTATTCTGGTGATGAACATGCTGGTGAAATTTTCTGAACTAGAGTGCAGAGACCCCAAGTCTAAGTCTGGGATCCACCAATTTTCATGAATGACTTAACAGCGACCGCTGAGTCGAGTCTGGATGCAGACGGGTCTCGAAAGAGCCAGAGAGGCTAAAGAGATGGGCCAGAATCTCATTTAAAGCCAGAAAAATCCCGATCCATCATGTCCAAGAAAGCTAGAGTAGGGAATATGTTTCCCTGAAAGTACCTTTCACGGGAGAGAAACACAAGATCCAGTTGCGAATGAAAAGGCAGTTTATTAAGTAAACATAGAAAAGTCAAGGCAGGATCAACTGATGCAGAGGTGCAGGTCAGAGTTCAGGTTTTGGCAGCAAGGAGACTACAATAGGCTGGAGTCCAATGATCCCTATAGAAATCAACCTATCGTGAACAGAGCAGATAGTCCAAAACTAGAGCAGGCAGGTAACATGGAACCTGGAGACAGAGAACCACTGACAGGGTAATGAGACAAAATGTGAACCTCAGGCCACGTTTACCCAAAGCTGGGTATTTAGCGAAACGAATATTTCCCCCCGCTCTGTTTCCAAAAATAACATCGTTCACACACCCTCATAAATACGCCGTCGAGCGCCCTCATAACTATGCCAAACCTATGGGCGGCAGTGTAGGGAGAAGGATAAAGCCATGCAAGCCAATCAGAATCCTCAGAATCGACAAGAGAGAACCTAAAACGCAGTTTCTCCCAGTTCACACGACAACACATAACCGGCGTTTTCAGAAATCTCCACTTTGGCCGGAGTTTTTAGAAATATTCGTTTTCTGTGATAAAAACGGGTTTTCGCGTAAACGAGAGGCCAAACCGCAGGGAAATATCTGCGTTTTCCCTTCGTGTAAACGGGGCCTCAGAACGATCTGACAATGAACACAACTGAACACAAGACTACTTATAGGACACATTAACGAGCCGCACCTGCAGCTGATCTGATAGGTCGTCAGCGCAGTTGGTAACTAAGCGACGCTGATAGGCAATTAGACCAGGACAGTACATACAAACATGAACAGGCAAACCTGCAAACTGTGACAGTACCATTCTCTACTCTCTCTCTTACCCCTTTTCCATCAAATGGTTCGCATAGATGACGAAATAAATGCTAAAACACTCTATCCTGATCGTTTTCAATACTCACAATTCCAATTCCTGATTCCCTACAGTGGTTTTGACGACACAAGATGGTTTTTGTACTGCCAAGGGCGTAGCTCGCGTGGTGAGCTGAAACCTGCGTATGTCACGAAGTGCGGAACATCCAATAGGAAAATTCAACTGCAGTAGCCACCGTTCAACCTGAAGAGGGCAGCACTAAGACGTTTTTACACCATATATTGTAGAAATAGAACACTTTATAAACAAATGTCAAAAAAGTTACACGAATCAATGACTGGTATTAATAAAGATCCATTCTTACAGATCATTAACTAAAAAAAGTTGGTTAAGTGTGTAGTTACTCTTTAAGTATGTTTCTGTTTCATAATTGTGATTCATCATTTTGTGTTTAAATTGCAGTTTCATTCTCAATTTTGTCATGCTTTTCTTAGATCGGTTCTTATTTCGGCAGCGTCCTCCAGACGCATGACATTGACCGTGACAATTACACTGACATCCTTCTGGTCGGATCTCCCATGTATATGGGTCCAGAGAGAGACGAACAAGGTCAAGTCTACGTCTACAAACTCAATGAGGTGTGTGTCTTTAATCTGTGTGTGATATGCCTCATTCCACATACTGAAAACATGTGTAGGGTAGTGTAGCACCTTCATTCCAGCCCGGGAGCATGTGGTAGCAGTAAATTTGGATCTGTCTTCAGGGAGTGTGTGTTGCGTTGGTGTTCAGCCTGAGATAAGTGGTCCCAGAGCAAGGGAAGGGTTGGAATGAGAGCTTGGCATCATGGGAGTGGAAATCAAATGAAACTGTAATATCTCCAGCAAAATACCAGCCTCTGTGAAGCACCTGCTCTCAAGAGCTTCCAAATAATGGTGTAAATGGAGCCATTTCTATCGGTTTTCCCCGTCGGTCAGTGTTTCTTTGTGAAGCATTTTAGTACACGGCAGCACTGTATAGAGCCTACATATCATTTGTTTTCTTTTGTTTCTTCTCCAAAAAATTTCAAATCACTGAATATACAGACTGATGTCTTTTCTTTCCTGTTTAACTCCATCTGTTTAATCGTCTTTGTAACAATTTTATATTTTCTTGAAATTTCCATTGGAACCTACTTTTCTTCTTACCTATATGTTCAACCACGAGTCTGTAGGCCACGCTGAGATCTGCAGTATCTCAGGCATTTACTCTGTGTCTGATTGTTACTCTCAGGATGGGCTGTTTGAGCATGAGATGACACTGAAGCCGGTCAATCAGACCTGTTGTACTGCTAACTCTCGGAGCAACTGTAAAAGCTTCAGTAAGAACGAGCCCTGCGGCTCACGCTTCGGCACTGCAATCGCTGCCGTTACTGACCTCAACCTGGACGGCTTTAATGACATAGTGATCGGATCGCCTTTGGAGAACGACCACAGAGGGGCGGTGTATATTTACCACGGTTCTCAGAAATCAATAAAGGAGAAGTATGTTCAGGTAAGGAATCTTGACAGCATATCATCAAGTGGTCATTAAAGGAGCTGTATGTAAGAAATGTGTTTCAAATAATCAGAAAATGGCCCTGATATGTCACTAGACATTATGAAATCATGTCAATTTAATACTTATATCACTGACAACAGTAGTCCCGTCTGGATATATAACTGATGTTGATGTTGTCATGTTGTGTTTTGGTCTGATGCTCCACCCTCCACCGATCTACCAATCACGGAGTCAGTAGTGTTGCAGCTACAGTAGGGTTGCCAGCTCTATTCTACTAGTTACCACAGCTGCAGCTACAAACATGTTGGTAAAAAAATGTTGGAGCCTATCTGGCAACCTCGAGTCAGGGGGGAGGGGGAGGGGATACATCGCTCTACAGTAATTAGAAAGTGATTGCAGTACCAGTTTTGGCCACAATCTTACATACGGCTCCTTTGACATTGTGGTGGTTAGAAAGACAGACCCCCTGTATAAACATATTGCTTTTTAACATGTGTACAGTAAGATTTAATGTTTACATTGTATTTGTGATAAACTGCAGAGCTATTCAAATATGAATTATTGATGTACAGTTTTGTTTGTGTTTAGCGAATTGCTGCTGGAGGAGATGGAGAGAGCATGAAGTTCTTTGGCCAATCGATTCACGGCATCATGGATTTGAATGGCGATGGAATCATTGACGTCACTATCGGAGGAATAGGAGGGGCCGCACTTTATTGGTGAGTGTGTTTGACTTAAGTGTCATTTTTATGTGAGTGAATCTATTCTGTAGTGCAACATTTTAAATTCTCACTAATGTCTGGATCTAAAAAAGCCTTGGGTATGAAACATGAACTCGCTACCCTCTGGATGTCTGTCTTCCTGGTTCCCACCCACAGCAGCTGTCTCAAATCTGGACCTGAGCCTAAACATCCCACATCGTGGAGACTAGTCCGTCAGGGGTTATGTCCCTCCGCTACGACACATTTCTACTGGGCTCCGAATCTGTGTGAGAGTGCCTCCAAGCACGAAATAAACTCTTGGCAGCGTTTCCTTTCTTAGATTCCCCTACAGAGATCACAGATTCCAGAGTGGCCATGGATTCTAGTGACCTCTGCCATCTTCATTCCCCAAGCTGCAACACCCAGCCTTTTAGGAGCTCTCCATTCGCCTCTAATTGACCACACATTACATTTTTTGGAGACCATCTGAAGTGTTTAGTTAGACTGAAATCAGCCTATGATCTACGAAGCAGCTGTTGTTGTATGGAATGAAATGACACACCTAGTAATCCTCCAAATGCTGCTCCATTCACAAACATCTTGTTGAATTTGTTTAATCCAGGTCTCGGGATGTTGCAGAGCTTCGTGCCGATATGACCTTCGACCCAAGCAAGATCAATCTGCAGCAGACCTGTCAGGTCCACGGGAGGACCACAGTATGTGTGAAGACCAAAGTGTGTTTCAAATATCAAATGAAGTCTGACAAAGACACAATCACGGGAACTCGTGAGTCACTGGTGCTCTTTCTTTATGTTTTGCCAATCAAGTCTTTAATGTTGGGTTTTTTTAAATGCCATTTCCCTCCAGTCATCAGGTACAATTTAACGCTGGACTCGCTGAGAGCGATTGCCAGAGGACGGTTTAATGATAGCGAGGACAGGAAATTGCAGAAGATCGAGTTGATCGTCAACGAGCTTTGCAGAGAGCACATCTTCTACACGTCGGCAAGTAAATCAGTTTTTCATATGCAAGAGCAATATAGACCTTAGTTATGTTAGACGCCATATTGAGTTGAAAGGTTCTGGATCCCATAATTGTAAAACTGTGTTTCACGCACTGTATTCTGTCCTTCACAGCCATGTTTTCATTCCTGTCAAAACTTAAATATGGCGCAACCCTGACTAAGGTCTGTTAGGGCTGCACAAACTTCTGTCTTGTGATTTTAGCTTTTCTTTGTGTACAGTATATGGTGTTTGTGAATGTATTTTTATAAAGAAGTGGCGGTACTAACTTAACCATGACTTTCAGTAGGGCTGCTCGATTAAGCCAAAACACATTAGAGTAAAATCGAAATCCAAAATCAATTACGATTAATCAATTACGATTGTTGCTTTTCCAAGTAACAAAGTAGCGCATAAAAAAAGTCAAGCAAATAAGGCGATAATCAAAATAGGTGTTTATAGAAGATGATTATAGATGTATGTAAAGGTGTTTATAGTTATATTAGTTGTTAAATGATATTAATGCATACAATTACTTGAATAGACATCGTCTGTGATGAATTTTTGAATTAAAATGAATTTTGATATTTTTCAGGGGTGTGAAGTGAAAAATGTCAGGTTGGTACAACCGTCCTGATGTCATAATGAAGAAAATACCTCATTATCACACATTTGAATTATTATTTTGGCATAATCTTTAATTATTATTTTTTTTGAAGAGAAAAAGCAATGAATAATTGTTGTTAAAATATAAACTTTTTAAAAACATTGTCCGACATGCGGTGCTACCAACAGGGGAAAAAAACACAAAACAGAAAATGTTATCATTGGTCAATAAGCCTCTTACAGTACCAGATAATTCGACATTTTTAGAGCATAAGATGTATTGAATATGTTCAAATGGCTTCTTGAATGTAATCTGTTTGGCTTTGAATAAACGGATCTGCCAAATCTATAAATGTAAAGCAGTGGTAGCTTGCGACGCAGACCAAACACTCCCTCCCTGTTTGTGCAGACTGGCTTCTTGTAAAACCAGCCCCTGTTCTTCTCTGAAACCATTAACTGTGTATCTGTTTGCCTCTGATCTAGCTCATGTTACGTTTAACGTCTCTCAGTAGATAAGGAGCATAAAACTAAGCGTTTGAAAGTAGAGGACTTGAGTTTAATAAAAGCCAGAGTTTCTCTGATCAAAGGCCCGAGGCCAGTAAAGTCACTCCCAGTCTCCGTTGAGAGACTACAGCACGTCCCGCTTCGGTGCATACTTGTCCTCTGAGCTCTAGAGGAAGTAAGCTATCCGAAAAGAACGTGCTGTAAGAGGCGACGCCCCCTTGTGTTAATGATGGACGACTGCAATACTGCATGATCAATATCAGAATGTTACCTATACAAACCAATAATACAGAGTTGATGATAAGAGGCTGCTAGCAACAGAATGAATTTGATACCATTTCTGAGTTGTCTGCCTGACGTTAAGCTGAAAAAATTTGCAACATCCTTTATTATCCCCCACAGGATAAACTGGATTTCAGAGACCCCATTATGGTCACGCTGGAATTCGGTTTAGTGGATGAAGACAAGGGTCCAGTCCTAGACGGGGAATTACCGACGTCACTCAACAAGACTGTAAGATCTCATTCTCGTTCCTGTTGCCGAATCTAATCTGAGGTTTATACGTGTAGGTCATAGAGTGTAACATTCACTGCTCCAGTAACCGCTCCACTTAAAACGCTCATTAAAAGAAGTAAATGTGGGTGGCAGGCAGCTGTAAGTTAGTCTAATGAAGTCTCTCTAATTTTACAAGCGCTGAGAGATTTTCTCCATGTTTGCTCTCTCACATGCAGTTATAATGAGATTTTGATTAGCAGAAACAGGGATGGGCTGGCATAGGGAATGCCAAGACTTTTCAGAATGGCGAAATTAATCTGTTTACTTTATAACCAATTTTGGATATGCATATGATAGTGACGGGAGATAGGCTACTAAGCTTTTCAAAGCTTTGAATCAATTGAACCAATTGCTTTGTAAAATGATTCTGTTTCTAAGAGCTCAAAATGCTGAACTCAAAACACGCATAAAACACCAATCGCAAAATTTTTGATCTATTAAATGCAATTAACAAATATTCTAATACATTAAATGTGAAGTGACTTTGTAAAACAGGTATGTCTTATTTTATTAAAGCTGCATTCTGTAATTTTTTTGGGTTAAAAAAATTATCCAAAATAAATCTTTGAGCAAGTACATTTTACAGTTTTATTCATTTAGCTGACGCTTTTATCCAAAGCGACTTACAATTGCTATATATGTCAGAGGTCGCGCGCCTCTGGAGCAACTAGGGGTTAAGTGTCTTGCTCAGGGACACATTGGTGTCTCAAAGTGGATTTCGAACCCGGGTTTCTCACACCAAAGGCATATGTCTTATCCACTGTGCCATCACCACCCAATTCAAAGCGGTAAGCTTGTAATATTGTTTTTAATTCCAGTGGTAGGCTGGAATAAACCCTCTTTTTACTCCCAGTCCATCAGGAACTGGAGGTTTCTTAACTCAATGTTTTATTCCCAAGCAGACAGCTTTGCCAGCTCATGATGAGATAAGGTTATCAGGAGGAATAGACAGTTTTCCTGGAGACATCTCTGAGCAGTGTTTGCCAGTGCTACTCCCATGACGTTCTGTTGTTCTTGTCCTCCCTTCAGAAAGCACTCAAACAAGGAAAAAATTCCTGACACAAATATTTGCGGCAATCTGTTGGCTTAATGCTTGTAATTAAATGGCATTGTTAGAAAGGGGAGTGAAACAAAATCTGGCAGGAAAATTGTTTAGAAATGTGTTGCCAAACATTGTTTAGCAAACTTAAAGGAATGAAGATGTTTTGAAGTGTGTTTTTACAACCTTTCAAGCATGTCAGAATAATTCTTCCTTTATTACTTTACTTTGTATTTTCTTTCGCTCTAGATCGCATTGGTAGACTGCGGGAATGACGACAAGTGTGTTGCTAATCTACACCTTAAAGCCACTGCAAACATCTCAAGGTATTAATAGTATCTTTTATAATGTATTCAGCCTTCAGGTTATTTTCCTTAAATGTCTTTCTGATTCTTCTGTCTTTTAATATAGTTATTGTTGTAGATTGACAAAATTATGACAGGACTATGTCAGTGTGGCTGTTTTATTAAAATTGTAAATATTTTCTGGTGTATTCCCATGTATTTTGTCAATTCTTGTCATCTGCTGCCCCCTTCTGTTGACTTTTGAAAAAATAAAGATTCCCGTTTGTCCTGTCATTTTCATCAGCCTCAGATTTATCCACAAGGCATGAAACAGGATAACAGAAGCAAACTAGATCATGGATGCAAACTGACATTGTCCATCTTTTATTTCTGTATATTTATAGTCTTTTCATAAAAAGCAACCAAGAGAAGTTTTATGTCAACATCAACATCCGCAACAGTGGAGACAATGCTTATAATACCAGGGTTACACTGAGCCACACGGAAAATATCAACTATGTGAAAGTTGAGGTAAGTCAACTGTAATGGCCTCATGTAAATAACACTTGGTTTTAGAGACTGTAGATCAATCAGTGTTGGCTGGTCTAACAAATCAGTGAATGTTCAATCATTTTTTGAATTTGATTTTTTTTTTTTGTAACAAAAACAGTTTCTGTTTTATTTTATTTTTGCAGCCTAAAGAGAAGGACTGTGAAACAAATAATACCAGAATAGTATGTGCAGTTGGATATCCTTTCCTTAAAACTGATAAAACGGTGAGATTTGCCTCTGCAATCAAATTAGCATTGTTATATTTCATTCTGTTTACACTGTTTTTCATTTCAATCCAACAGGAAAGCTTCCAAATCCAATTTGAGCCCAATCCCTCTCATATTCGTAAGGACATTGTGATTAATGTTACTGCAACAACGTAAGAATCACGTTCATGACTACTCCTTTGAAACTTACCAATGAAATCTTCTTTTTACTGTTTGACTCACTTGATCAAATAGAGAATAAGGATATGTATCTAATTAATTTTTCACCACAGTGATAGTGAGGGGTCAGACTCAGCTCTGAAAGACTACTTTGTGAGCATCGTCATCCCTGTGAAGCATGAAGCCAACCTGCGATTCATTGCGTAAGTGCCTTATTTAAACCAACCAATCAGCTTTGTCAAAACCAAAAGAATTGAACTGTCATTTGATGTTTTTATTGTAGTAACAAATACATGAAGGAGGACCACATCATATTGAAAGAGAAGGAGACAATACCTAATTTTTTCAACCACACTAGTGTGATCGGAGACGAGGTGAAAATCAGCTACACGGTAAGACTCAAAACCTCAACCTGGAGTTTTAATTACTTCTTTCGGGCCCTCAAGAGACTACCATGTGGTCAAGAGAAAAAAAAAAAAAAAAAAAAGGAACTGTGGTGGAGAACAGTGTCTATGTCATACTGTAGTAGTTAATATAAAACATGGGCGTAAACTGTCACCAAGGAGCGACATACAGTACTGTATGACCAAGGAGTCATCTTGGAGTCAAATGAAGTCTGATGCCAATGTGAAATTTACTTTTTTTTTGGGTGTGGACATGATCCAGATTCATTTAAACTGGTTTGAGTGTGAATGCTTTGTTGATCCAGAAGTTTAGTTCAGACAAGCTGGTTTGGCTCAGTGCAATTATGAAATCACAAAGGCTGTGATTGTTTTTTTTTTATGCATGACTTGTAAGTAAAGCACAGCTCTGTGATCAGTAGTAAACGCAGCTCCATCTGAAACCACTGTGAGTTTGAGTTGCTTATAACGTGCATTTGAAAAAGCAACACACGTCAAACATCTTTCCAAACATAAGAAGCATTTATGAACCTCTTGTGAAACAAAAGACAACATTTAATAAAAAAATGTTGTACTTAACTCACTTCATTATGACAATTGATTGAGCATCCTTCTGTGAGATGATGTGGCTCCTTACACAGAATAAGGTACAGAACATACAGTATTAGTTCATAGGACTCTTTTTACAGCCATAAAGGTTATGTCGATTAGCATTGAAGTATAAATATACTTTATTATCATAAAGTTTGTGGAACTCAGACAAACCATATATTGTCATAGTCATGATTATTAGTCATTTTTAATCAAAGCGTTTCAATCTTCTGTCTAATCAGCAAAAGTGATAGTATGATGCCCACAGATATTTCCTGGAACGACGTGTGTTATCCTACTTCTGCGGGACATATTTGAAGCATTTGCTACTGATCACATATCTGTGCTAAACAGACAAGCTACGCATGAAATTTAACTTCGATTAATCGGGCAGCCCTATTCTGACTGATTTCTGATTGTGTTCAACAGATTGAGAGAGAACCTGAAATGGCGAGTCCTCCACTGCTGCTCACGATAGTGTTCCCGTATCAAACGTCTGCAAAAAACTTGCTGCTGTACCTCACAGATCTCACACACACAGCGGTAGGTGCTCAGATTCCTCAAGTGGCCACATCTACTGTACATGACTGGCTCAGAAATATCTCAACTGCCTCATTTTGTTCTTATAGAACATCAGCTGTGATGCCAAAAAATGGATTAACCCTTTACTCATCAAGCCTGACAACCCTCATGCAGTGAATCCTAAAAAAGAGTCCTTGAGCATCTATCTTTTGGTGAGTAAGCATCGCTTTTCTTGTGAATTTCTGAGTTGGAAGTGGGTATCTGATCGTATTTCAATTTTTTCCCGTCTCCCAGAGTTGTAAAGAAGAAAGACATCCCTGCGTGTCCTTTAGCTGCTCCATCCCTCCTGGAGACTTCAACCAGATCAACAGCACTTTCAGAGTGTGGCGACCCACCTTCCTCAAAGTACGCTCTTCCGCTTGATAACTTTCACGTTCTGCTATGTATGATCCGTCAGTATGCTGTAGTAATGTCCTTTGCCGTCTGAAAAATGAATCATTTATAGGGAGAATTTTCCAGCATTTACATGGGTGTCGATGCCAAGCTGGAGAACAAGAACACGGACCTGTTTGTGTTAAATGATAACGTCAAGGCCAGAGAGGTATGAAAGCAAGCCAGCCCTGGATTCTGCACTAATATCAATATGAGTATAATTTGAGTAAATTCATGACCATTCAGATTATAAAATTAAAACAGGCTCAGTCTATATTTAAAATTGCTGTAAGGGATTTTGTTTTTTTAAACCACACATGAATTGTTCCTAGTATTGGCCAATTACCTGATCTTTAAATGCCACGTCACTGTTCTGAGCTGTAGGCAGCAGGGAAGGAACACCATAAACAACTTTTATTTTGACCCCTCATTCTAGTGAACTACTAGAATGTGGTTACACATGCCCGTATCAGTTGTTCAGACATGTCCAAGTCTGAACTGTTTCAGTGTACTGGTGATTCGAGAGCTCGAGAGGAAACTGCTATCATTTTACTGCTGTTGACTCGAGACCTATTGCCATCAGATCACTGTTATTTTACCAATAGTTTTTATTTGTTATGCTTTTTGATTTTTTTTTTTTTTTTTTTTTTTTAGCAAAAGACATTTTATGAAACCCTTGGCACTCACTTCTCAGTTCAGTGTGTAAAAACTGGCATCATAGGATCATATACTCATGGTGGCATGCCATGAAAGTGAGTTTGAGTAACTTGTAGATCTGTGCTGACTCGAGCCTAAGACTATTTCGAGAGTTCAGTACAATTTAGTAGATGTCAGTAAAAAGAACCGGTTCAAAAGAATGATTCATTATAGACCATTTCACAAGATGTAAACAACACTGGTCCAGAAGCACTTCCTGTTTCAGTTTTTTAACACTACATAAAAGCTGGGATAAAATACAACCAACAGAACATTTAAAACTGAATCAAAAAGTTAAACAAACATCTTTAAGATGTTTTCTTTACATGTGAAATAAAGAAAACAGTTACAAACTGAAACAGGAAGTGCTTCTGGACCAGTGTTGTTTACATCTTGTGAAATGGTCTATACATCACTACATTACAACCCATGGATTGAACCAAGTCCAGCCATTTGACTTTCCTTGTCACTGTCGTTCTACAAGGAGCCTGGGGGAACAGAGAGAGACTCAGAACCACTTTAAATCTACAATATTTGTTTCATCAATCTCTCAGAAAAAAAATAGTTTAGATGGAAAAATTGCTGTCATAGTCGTAGATCTAGATCCATCACTACTTTTGTTTCATGGCTACTTTAAAGGTGTGTAACATTTGGCATGTAGACCGAGACGCTGAAATATGATGTCACAAGTGTAACCCTAAAAAAGGACAGAATGCTCAAGTATACCTCTTTTTTTTACTCGTCGTGTTGCACATTACAGTTCGGTAAAGGCATCAGAACCGCGTCTCCCCACTCTAGATTTTGTGTGTATGAGGAGGGATTCCTGATGCTGTTTTGACTCCTTTACACATCTTATAAGCTCTTCACGAGTTCTTAGCTGGTCAAAATACCATCAAATGTTGGCTATGCACATATAACGAGAGCATTATCCCAGAACAACATTGTTTTGGATGTTCAGAAAGTTCCGTCAAGAAATATGTCATAAAAGCCAACCAATCAGGTTGTGAACATATCCCCATGCCTTTAGGTTAGGTGTTAAAATCCCAATGTGAACACTAAGCGGACTGGGGGAAAAAAATTCGGTCCAGACCAAACAAACGAAGTGTGAACACACCTCTACAACAAATCAGACACTAATAAAACATATATAATGGAACAAACTTTTAAAGGAGAAAGATTAATTTTGCCCTCAGAATGTAGCCTCATCTACACCATCACTACTATCAATTAAGCTAATTAAGATATCAAAATGGCTGAAATCTCTTACAGCAACTTTAAATGAGCAATTAGTACTCCATGTTAGCTTTTAAAATGCAACTAGTGTTACATCTTTTCTACAGGTAAAGATTCAAGTGACCAAAGACATACGAAGCGGAATCCCACTATGGATTATTATCCTCAGTATTCTTATAGGACTTTTAATACTGGCACTTGTTATCTTCGCTTTATGGAAGGTAAGCATCACTATTTTGCTTATGTAAGCTCAGCTCTGCATATCCTATGCTGCACATCTTCGGTGCAAACGTACTAAGGCTCAATGATGTTGAATGTTGACTCTGTTTGTTCTCCTCCAGGCTGGATTCTTCAAGAGAAAATCAGTTAAAGACATGAAGGACGATATGAAGGAATCTGATTGAAGCCTGGGGTTCTGTAGCCTCCATCCCTCAGGTTAACTCATACTTCACCTCTAGCCAAGGTCACCGAGATCACATAGCAGGACCATCTCTAGGAACATTCAGAAATATGAAGATCAGAGTTTGGGTTTACCAAAGTGAACCCAGCGCTTTGCTTGACACTTTGATTCATCTTCATGTGTTCACTGCAAAATTCGACTGAATGTGAACTCAAGTGAACCTCTGAGACTCCACAAGATTGGTGGATATTTTGCCAAACCATGAGAGTCAAGCTTTGTACAGCGAAGCATCAAAGGTTCATCTATAGCCTGAACTCAACATCCCACCAGCAACGGACCTTCATCTGTAACCCCCCTACGGCATTTATCATCAGCATAGCAAGGCTCAGGAACCTGTCCTGGAAACGTCTAGAGTTATCTACAGTCCTGTAATCAGAACCATACACTCTTATTGGCAGCAGGTTTAAATATGGAGGTCTTTTCCAATAACTCACTTTCAGAGCTTGTTTTGACGAATCACTGTACAGTTTTCAGTTCAAAGCATTTTTTTTTATTAGTGTTATGGGCTATGAATATTGGCACATTCCTTTTTGTTCACAAAGCAATTTTTTGGCACTGATGTTTTTCACGCTTTTTGTCTTCAGGAATGAAGAGGAAAAGGCCTGTACTGTAAATGTAAAGCTTAAAGTGTATATAAAGGTTTGTTTCCAATATCGCTTTAATAATGGAATAATGGCTTTATCAAAATAATTGCATTATCTGTATTCAGTCTGATAGCTGCCATGTTTTCTGAGGTAGAAAGCATCTTGAGTGTTTCTCAGGTATTCCAGATGGTTTGCAGACTCAGCGAATGTCTGGAATCATAAAATTGGACTGCCATCAACTTTGTTCTTTTTGCCATATGTAAATATTAGAAAAACAATTACTTGACTAAATGTTAAAGCTTAACTGAACAATAACTGTTTTCAAACAGGATTTCCAGACGCTCTCGTATTGGACGACAGTCCCACCTTAAAACTTCATTCTGGCGTCTTCCCTCTTTGTCGCCATCTCTGTTCGAAATTTGCAATTGCAGTCATTCGTGGAATTATCAACTTTATGCGAGTTTTACTTCGACACGGCACAGCGTGGATGAACACAATGTTTGAGGAGACTGTGAGGCTGTCAGTCACCTCGCCGATGTGGATACGGTCATTCAGAATCACAGATTATTCTTTTTAACCAACAAAAATTTTCACCCAAAAACTTCATCCGAACTAGTAAGAAACATCCACTTTTGTTCTGGTTCTGACATTGCAGTAAATCGCGCTGATTAAATCTAACAATCGCTTATAAGTTATCATATCACTCGAAACCGTGCAAATTATACTTTGTACATGTAATGTCCTTCCGATATTGTCCTTGTTTTCGCATGGGTCTGGTTGCAGACTTTCTTTCACTCCGAAGTCCGAGCGAAGTCTTTTGCGTTTTACGGCGGGTGAATCTGTTGTCACTGGTGATTGTCGTTTGAACATTTCTGGATCTGCCGTCAAATTGATAAGTTTATTTATATCAAGTGCTGTGAGAAAAGGCTAAATTTCCACCTCACACACAATATAGCCTACTAGCTGAGACTCTTCTTTATGTGTGTGTGCAGATGTGTGTGTACAGATGTGACGTAATGACACAAAGACATGCTTGAATCTCCTGTGGAAATCCAACAGTACCACTGGAATTAAAAAACATTATTGCAAGCATAGCGCTTTGAATTGAGTTAAGGCAAGCGGATAGTTTTGAACAAACTGTCCAAAAACTGTTCTGACTGGTTATGTATTTTCTCAAATATCTATTTTGAAAAAAAAAAAAAAAAAGCTGCAGCTTGAAAACTCACACCATTGGTTGAGTAAATTTAGCTGTTGTCAGCTGGCTGAGAAGGTCCAGGAAACAGAGCAATGTTTTGAGATCATTGAATTCACTGACTTACAGATGCCTTTTCATATTAAGCCAGACCAGAAGAAATATTTTAACAAAAAATTACACGTGTGTGTGTATGTATGTGTGTGTGTGTGTATATATACCGATCCCTAAGAGGAAATAGATTCTGAGAAACAGCAGACATAGTTAAACCCATAGTGCACACCACTTGACATAGTGCAGTTAAATTAGCCTATGCAAAATGCAAAACATGAGACTGGGTGAAATCAAAATCATGTGTACATATGCATGGTGTATATGCAGTGCCTGAATTTGCAATGCACTGACTATGAATAAAAAGAAGAAATATTTCTATATTTCTTTGCTTTTTACAAATTTTGCATTAAGCCACTGTTTTAATATATATATATATATATATATATATATATATAAAACGTTTTTTTTTGCCATATTATTTTTGCAACAGCTATCCAGAGTCTGCCATAAACTCAACGTGTAAAAACCTCAAAACAGTTCCTTCCCATTTTCATTTTTCTTTGTAAAAACCATGTGCAACATGTGAAACTTACATTGCAAGTTTTTACTGTATGCATATTGCCATTGTTTACCATCAGTGAAAATATATTTTGTTTTTAATATATTTCGTTTTTAATGCTCCCGTTTTTGCCACAAAAGTGTAAGTGCAGAATGCTAGATGTGGCAGAGATGCTGGACATTTTGCTCAACACTCAAGTGTGAATATTTATCACATTCAGCGAGAATGAGCAGTTTTCTCAAATCTGTTTTAGAATATGAGTACTGAATATAATTTAAAAAAATATATATATTTTATTTTATTAAATTGGTGGTTTGATTGACTCGAACGTTGGCAAATATGGCGTTCTGCATGAAGTTTCAAAACAAGGGCTTTCTTTGGTTTTCATGTGGTACTGACTTGACTTGATGATCTGTACTATACAGCTTATCATACAATTGTCATTTCAACAAACATTTTTTGTTCTCTTAAGTTGGCATGAAAAGAGTTTTTGCTGTGTGGCTCAAAAGGTTGTTTTTCTCTATTTCACATTTGCCACTGTAACTTTAATATCAACTGTCATGTTTGTATCATAGTCACATCCATGTTTTTTTCTTGTACATTGAATGAGATGCCACCATGATTCTATTGTATATAACATCACAATCTACAGTATTCATGTTTCAAACACATAAAAAGTGTTTAAATATACGTTGTTTTAAATATGCAGGTTAATCAAGCCTCACTTTCAGATGGAGACCATCGGTCTTGGGCACATGTGAGACACTCTGCTGTGAAGTTTCTATGTATGCACTGGTTTGTCAGTTTCACGAAAATGTGGGGGGGAATAAATGCTTATTTTGTAATTTAGACACTTCAAGAGACATATTTGTGTGTTTTTATTTATTGTAATGACATAGCCTATTGCAAAAAATGAGCATATGCTTAATAATTACATATGCATCCTTCAAGTTCAATAGTTCAAGTGAAGAAAAGGTAGAACCTTTCGCCTCTTCGCAGATAAAGTTGTTATGTTCTGTTAGTGAATGAATCACTCATAAAAACGGTCATCTGTCGCCGCCAACCGGCGATCAATTAAACAAATTTAACGACTGAAATCAATTGCTGTATAGGCCTAAGGTTAGCTTAAGTTAATTATTGCTAAGTGTTATTTGATCATATCTAGTGAAGTCAAAACCATTTGTCATGTTTATAGATTTTAGATGCATTGACAAGTTTGTAAAAATTTGCTTTTGAAATAACATCTGAAACCAAGTTTTGGAAATATTTCATAAGCAACATGTCAAGGTTGTGGTTTATGAGTCTTGCATCGGCGCAATTGCAGAATTCAACAGAAATGTCAGTGGGAAACATTTCCTGTTTGCGTTGAAACTATGAGGCAAACTCCTCAATTACATCCCAGTCAGAGAGATAAAATCCCGTACGGAGACTTGGGTTAATCATTGTTTGTGTGTGTGTGTGTGTGTGTGTGAGTCATGGTCTGCAGTATAGGATCACTCATTTTGAGCATGACTATTACTGTGCTTCACCTTCATCAGCCGCCCACCTGTCCACACCCAGCCTAGTCCAGTTCAGCCAATAGGAACGCAGGAAAAGACCAAAGACGAGGTGAAAACTGTGCCTGTAAAAAATTATCTCTTTTTTTTTTATAACATAATTTCATGAGTAAATTGTGTTTTTGTGGCTCTTTATTGGTTTCCCCAGTCTATCTCTGTTATTTTTTCTGTCTTTTCTTTACTTTTCCATTTGGATTGTTATAAAGTGTAAAAAAGGTGTGTTTTTCATATATACTGTTCTTAAGATAGCTATGAGTTTCCTTATTTCTTCAATTGTTTGCATTTTGTCTGCTAATGTCAACATCAAAGGAAGATACAAATCTGTCCAGAGCACTGATGACATCATATCCTGTCATATAGTCATTTTTCCCCTGAGCCTGAGTTCAGGTTGATTCATTATGCTTGGAGGCAACACTATCTGCTCCTTCTACCAAACAATTTCTCCAGCAATGGACAAAATGGAAAAAGTTGTGATACTACTGATATTACTGCAGAGTGAGTACTTTGTTTATCAAATTATGTTTACTACTAATCTCCATAGTTTGTACTTTTTTATACACTTGGGGAGACTGACATGTTTACATTTGGATTTTCAGATTTTGTGTTAATAATCTGATAATGAAAAAGCTCCTACTGAATGCCTAAACCTCTTTTTTTTTTTAAAGATAAACTTAAATTGTACGAGATAATTAAGTTTATTTCCCCTTGATAAAATGTTTTACTTGATGATGCATGGAGGAGATCCAGTCGCATGATTAAATCAAATGTTATTTCGTAACAACAGACAATCACATAATAAATGAAGAGTAAAATGAATTCATCCATTATCCAGATTACAGTTTTTTTCGATTGCTAAACCACAGTGAGCACGACTGGAGCTAAATGTGCAAAACTCTAACTACAGTCTGCACAGCAGCAGTTCATGTGGACCAAACTCTAGATCGTTTTTCATTGCTTGAACACAGTTTTCAAAACTCTACACACTTATCCCATGACTTTAACCACAACCTGCACAACACTGTGGATTTACAGCACTTTGTTCAAATGCTAACACACTGCTGTCAAAACTGTGAACCACTCATTCAAAACAGACTCAATTTCAGCCTTGTGCCTTTCACACACTGCTGACTTTCAAACAATTTCAGCTGAAAGGATGAAAACCTGTGGCCTAATGCTTGTGAGAGGCAGGGTTACAGTATTACAGTATGTACTTTTAGTTTCTACCTTTTTTTCTCATTACCGTAATTCTGTAAATTACTACAGACTATTGAAGCAAACTGCTAATTTTCCATTGTTATGTTCTAAAAATGTAAAAAAAATATCAAATGAAAGAATGTCACTGTTTTCTATGAAGAAAATATTACTTTGTATGAAGTGTGAAATTGTTGAAACTGCAAAGATGAAAAGTTTGTATTTTCTGTATTGGTGTTTGATGCTACTGTTTTTCCTCTCAGTGTGTTCTGAGTGACAGTGTGTGTTATCTCAGTGAGGGTTGTGCATAGTGTTGTGCACACTGAGCCTGTTTTGAGCCGTGTGTTAAGAGTTATGCTCAGGTGACTGTTGGTAATGCAGACTGTAGTTAGAGTTTTGCACATTTAGCTCCAGTCGTGCTCACTGTCGTTTAGCAATCGAAAAAAACTGTAATAGTTTAAAGAGGAAACATAAAATGCACAGTAAAAATGACTTTGATATTTCTGAGTAAAATAGTTCCTCTTTTCATATTATATTGCATTGAAGCAGACACAAGTCATTACAGTTGGTAGCCCCTTGCACTGCGAGATATATACTTGTAACATCCGTTAGCACTTTATTTTGAGACATGAGAGCATTTGTGGTCTGTATCGGACACAAGACTCGTGCCCTCATCTAAACACTAAGTCAAACAGCTGCATTTGAGGCATGAAGATTGATAAAATAAAAGTATTAAGCCTACATTTCAAATGATAATAATGGCAAACTCATCAAAATGATAGTAATGAGAAACACAGCAACATGATTAATGATATGATGATGACATTTGATTAAATGCTATTAAGATCTAAATGATTAAATGGTAAGCAATGATAAAACATAAGTGAGAAATATAATTTCTCTTTTTCTGATTCAGCCATTCATTTAAGTCTGAATAAATAAATAATTGGCAATTGGGGAAAAAAAAAACATTTTTAGATCAATTAAGATAATTAATTTAAGTAAATTGATCTAGGCTTTTTTACTTATGTTCTAATATTTTATTTTACTTTTTTATTTCTTTTGATGTCCATCCATACTCCTGGAAAAGAAATACACTTTTGTGCATAGTCCCATAGTTTGTTGTGAGGGTGCAAAGTCTATAAGGGTTGGGTTCTCACTTTGACTGTAGTGTTTGAAATATACCGACACATATACCGTCAATAGAAAGTTTTACCAATGTCACATGTCCCATATTGATGTGTTTGTGGAACAAGCAATCATGCTCAAATGACAGTCTAATTCACTGAGAATGTAAACTTTTCCTGCAGGTTTCTGTATTTCTCGCACTCGGGGTTTTAATGTAGGAACAGCAGGTGCCAAAATCTTCTCATCAGGTTCTGCGGTAGAAGAGTTTGGCTACACTGTACGCCAGTTGAGCAATAATCAAGGAAAATGGTAAGATCTGTCACACACACTGGGTATTTTCTCCACTACATATTCTTATGTATAAGAATACACTGAAGTCTAATTGTGGAAGTGTCAGACTAATGCATTGAGACATAGTCACAGATTACAGTGGGAAAAATTAGACAACCTTTTAACTGACTAATGCCAGTCAGGAACAGGAATTGTCTTTTTTCCTTGCTTGAAGGGAGATTTTGTGTCATTGCTTTAGTAGAGGAAAATCTCTGCCAAGTTTAATATCATAATTCTGTGTGCAAATTTTGTTTGCATTATCTGTTTGATTGCGTGTTATTGGTCCTCAGGCTTCTGGTAGGTTCTCCCTGGAGCGGATACCCTCAGGATAGAAAAGGAGACCTCTATAAGTGTGACACTGGTGGTTCAACCAGATGCCAGAAACTAAACCTTCAAGGTAAATTTCTCTTTATTTTAAAATAATAATACACGTACAAATAAGTGCTATTATGGGCTCTGGTTATGGTCGATAAAAATACCATGGAGTACAAATGCATGCAAATGCATAATGCATATAGCCTATCCATTGTATTGCTATCTGAAACAGACAACAGTAATTTTTTGTCAGGAACTGGAAAAGTCAGAATGAAACATAAGTTGCGATAGTCTTTTCTTCTCTACTGTGAAGTATATCAGAGTGAAACAGCTTTTCAAACAAGAACAAATGTAGAGCTGGACTTGATTTTCTCCATGGGGAAGATGGTTGTGGTTTGCTATTGGGCAATCTCATGTAAGGGACAGGTTGCCCCGCCCTCACTCCAGTAAGCATAAGAGAAGAGATGATGCTGCAAGAGGAAATTGTATAATATTCCATTAAAAAAAACATGAATTGTCTTTGATTTCCTGTCGACTTTAAAATATAACCAATAGGATTTTGATTTTTCCCAAAACATGTGTGTGTCTTCGCAGACTCTGTCAGCATAGATGGTGTGCAGAGCATCAACATCAACATGAGTCTGGGTCTGACTCTCACTCCAACAGCTAAACCTAACAGATTTATGGTATGATGTGATAGTACTGTGTCACCAGAATCTTCTTTAAAAGCATTCATTCAATCCTTGTCATATTGCAGACACTCTTTTATGGATTAAACTGTATGTTAGAATAAATGCTTGTGTTTCAGACCTGTGGTCCTCTGTGGGCTCAGCGCTGTGGCAGTCAGTACTTCTACCCGGGAGTCTGTGCTGAACTGAGCCCTCGGTTTACACTCCAGCCGGCCTTCTCTCCTGCCCTTCAAAGTAGCCCACAGCTTAGTTTTTACAGCCAGAAAGTTACAAAATACATGTTTCTTGGGTAAATTAGTCATTCTTAATCTTCTAAATCTGAATTTCTCTTTCAGCTTGTGGAGGGCCAATGGATGTTGCCATTGTTTTGGATGGATCAAACAGTATATATCCGTGGGGTGACGTTATACGCTTTCTCTCCCACCTTTTGGAAAATCTTGATATCGGACCAGATAATACTCGAGTGAGTATTGTTATGCAGCTTATCCTGATTCAATTTTGTCTTTGATTTATGTGATGTGATTTAATTTGGATTTTGTTTTTTTAGGTCAGTATTATGCAGTATTCAGAGGACTTGTCATTTCTTTATAATTTTAGTTCTGACCAGAATAAAGAAAAAGTTCTTTCGGCGGCTTTGGCTATTACCCAAAAAACTGGAATAGTAACCAACACTTTTGACGCACTTGACAATGCCAGGTACCATTTTTTTTTATTTGAATTGAATTGAATTGAATTTTGTTCTTTTAGCATTATTTTTTATTTAATTTAGTTATTTGCTTTATTTATTGTATGTAAAAATATAGACATTTGTGGTGGTTTGTGTTTCAGACAAAAAGCTTTCCTACCAGAAAACGGTGGGCGTACAGGGGCCACTAAGGTGTTGGTAGTGGTGACGGATGGAGAATCTGCTGATGGTCATAAAGGTCAAGAGGTCATTGAGAGGTTTGACCGAGATGGCATCATTCGCTTTGGCATTGCTGTAAGTGAGAGATCAGAATGAAAAAAGCTTCACATTCATGTAAAAAAATATATATTTGGTAACACTTTATTTTACAGTGTCCTTGTTACATATACTTACCATAGTAATAACAGTAAATTATGCATGATTACATGCAACTAACCCTCAACCAAATCCTAATCCTCCCCTAACCCTATATATTGGGACCATAATGATAATTAATGTTAATATTAATATTAATATTAAAATTGTAACCCTTTATTTTAATGTGATGTTGTTACAATGTAATTAATCAGTAATAAGTATATAACTACATGTACTGGGTTAAGGTTAGGGTTTAGTTAAGGGTTAGTCACTTATGCATAATTTTATGAAATTACTTTAGTATTTCTCCTTCAAGTAAAGTTTTATGAAATGTTTTTAATGTTGACTATTATATTTTTATCTATGGTACTGTATGAAATCTGGTCAAATGAAGAACATTAGGTAAAATGAATAGTGAGATTCATTACCAAAAAAGGAAATCATATTGATGAAAATAGGCTATGTTTGCGAATTTCATCTAATTGTATAGTTTTTAATTTTTATAATATGTCTTTAATTAAATGTATTTCATATTGTTTTAAGGTTGCTTACATCTTTTGTAACTGGACAACAAAACAAACAAAATAATGAATGCGTTTGGTGTAAAAGTTTCATTAATGAATTCACACAGATCCTCAAGGAAGGTGCCAATATTCAAAAGTTCATCGAGGAGATTGAATTGATCGCTAGCACCCCAACAGAGAACTACATGTTCAATGTGTCATCAGAGGAAGCTCTAATCAATATCGCGGGAACTCTGGGGGAAAGGATCTTTAACATTGAAGGTAAATCTTGCATTCACAAACATATTTTTTTATCCAGTGAAAACAGGTCACACTTACTGTACAGCTTTAAATCAGAATAAGCATATGAATATTTTGTTTTGTTTCATTTAAGGCACCGGTCAAGGTCAAGAATTTAAAATGGAGATGTCCCAAGTTGGATTCAGCGCACATCAGACCAATAAAAAGGTGGCAATAGTCTTTCAACACACACATCATGTATCTGATGGAGCAGTCGAACACATCTCTAATGTACCATACTGATTCACAGAAAATGTGTTATTCCACAGGATGAGATCATGCTGGGTGCGGTTGGAGCGTATGGATGGACCGGGACCGTCGTCCATCAAACAGCTGGAAAATCCAACGTTTTCCTCAAAAATGCTTTTGAGAAAACCCTGGATGACAGAAACCACAGCTCATTACTCGGTGATTTTTTTATTACCAAAAGCTAATATACTTGTCACGTAGGCCTATATTTATAATCACGTCTATGCTATTGGATTATAAAAAATACAAAAATTTAATTGTACACTTTTATTCGGCAAGGACACATTAAATTGATACAAATGGTAAAGACATAATGCTATAGAATATTTAAAATAAAGGTTCTTTTGAACTTATTAAAGAATTGATTAAAGAATTCCGAAAATACAACTGTTTTCTACATGGACAATAATAATAAATGTTTCTTGAGCATCAAATCATCATATTAGTGGGATTTCTGAAGGATCTGAATACTGGAGTAAAGATGCTGTAGATTCAGCTTTGATCACAGGAATACATTTAATTTTAACATATTAGAAAACAGTTATTTTAAATAGTAATATTATTTTACAATATTACTGTAATTCTACTGTATTCTTGGTAAACAGAAGAGACTTCTGTCAAAAACATTTTACTCCATACGATACATACCATATAAAATATTGAGTATTTTAGATGGATTCTTCTCATTTTTTGCTTATTCCCCCTGTAACATATCCAGGCTACTCTGTGAGCTCTGTGACTGACGGCTCGTCTGAGTTTTATGTGGCCGGGGCTCCTCGTGCCGTTCATAGAGGACAGGTTATAGTTTACATCATTGACAGCCACAGACAACCTGTGGTCATAGATTCACAAAAAGGAGATCAGGTACAGTACATTGACCCTTAATGACCTTGAGTTTCATCAGACAGTAAAGTCCTGTGTTGTGTAAGTGTAATTGTGGTTTGTGTTTGCAGATCGGGTCTTATTTTGGCAGCGTTCTCTGTCCCGTTGATGTGAACACTGATGGAGTGACTGATCTGCTGCTGGTTGGAGCTCCGATGTACATGAGCGAGGAGAAGTTCGAGACAGGACGAGTCTACCTGTTCACCATTACCAAGGTGACAAAGATTTGCTTTTCCATGCACAGATAATTATCATCTACACTCAAAGTAGGCTATATCCTAAAAATATTGTCCATTTCTTGCCTTGTGTATTCTTAGGGCATCTTAAGCAACCAGGGCAGTTTAGAGGGACCCTCCGCATTTGAGAATGCTCGGTTTGGGACGGCCATCACTGTCGTCCCAGATCTGAACCTGGACGGCTTCAGTGACGTAGTGGTTGGTGCCCCGTTGGAAGGCAATGGCCATGGTGCCATTTACATCTACTATGGAGATGGAAAAACCATCAGAAAACAGAGCTCACAGGTAGAACGCACTAATTTTTCTTTTAATATTCCTGCTGAAATTACCAGTATGAGTGGAAGTGTGGCTGGTTAAGTTGTTGACCAGCCATGAAAACCTTATTCTTAAAAGTACCAATGTCACAACAGTGGAAACAGGATATATATTGAAAATATCAGAGGGGGCCTAACACAAATCCTTGCAGCACTCCATAACTGATGAAAACCTTAATATTCTTTTGTTATAATTTCTTAGTAAAATAATATTTTAACCTTATAATATAATTGAATTTATGATATATATTTTAAAATCCCACTTTAGTCAATCATTTAATCCCTAAAACTTATCTTTGATCACCAAAATGACATATTTAAACCTTTTCTTTATGCCTTAAAATAGCTTGAATGTAACTCTACACCCTTGCCTCATTTAGTATATGTTGTTCAATGAATATGCCAAGTCTAGTTTCCTGTGATTAGTCGGTCGCCCAGTCTATTGTGATTGGTCTACTCTGCTCTGATACAAATACAAAGATCACACTTATAATAAGTATTTACTGCTGTATATAAATATTTAAAGCTCCTCTTTTTTACTTATTTTTTATGAGCATTTTTATTTGACACTGACCTTTAGTCTTTTTATTTTGTGCAGAAAATTCTTGGATCCAAACTGGACCTGGCGCTTCGGTTCTTCGGACGCTCTTTAGATGGCCGTAAAGATATGAACAATGACTCAATCCCTGATATTTCGGTCGGAGGAGATGGGAATGTAGTGCAGCTCTGGTGAGGGACTCAGTGTAGTTGTTAAAGATCTAGTAAATCATTTACTGAAATTGTGATGTTTTTAGAGTATTTTTTCTGATCTCAGGTCAAGGGGAGTTGCAGTTATCACAACAACGGTCTCCTTCAACCCAGAGAAGATCAGCATTCTGAGTAAAACTTGCATTTTCGGGGGAAGAATGGTGCCATGTGTTACTGCCAAAGTCTGTTTCAGATCAACAATCAGACCCACTACATTAGTGGATCAAGTAGGTAAGGTCGTGTTGTGTTTTGTATCACATCACGCATGTTAATTTCTCTAAAAATCTCCATGAAAGTGATTAAAATCACTGTTCTTTAGATATCAAGTACAACCTGACCCTTGACGCTGACCTGCAGTCATCAAGAGCCACTTCAAGAGCCCAGTTTGACAACTCAGAGCGTGTCCTCCAGAAAGCTGTCAGCGTCTCTGAAACACAAACCTGTGTAGATCATAAAGTCTATGTCCAGGTGAGTTTTTGCCAGTTACCACAGGCCTTATGCTGTTTATTATAACAGTGCTCACTCAGCTTTGTTTTATTTATTAAGTGCTTAAGTGCTTGAATGATCATTGTACATGGTTGTTTTCATGGTGTAATAGGAGACCCCTGATTTTGCTAGTCCAGTTGCTTTGCGAGTCGACATCAGTCCACAGGATCCAGAAAACGGCCCTGCAATAGATGCATTTCAGCCCAAAGCATGGGATTTTTTTGTAAGATTCCCTCCTGAATTCAATTAAGTATTTCAATTGTTTCAACGTTTTTAAACTTTGACAAAAATGCATTTCTTTTTGCTCAGGTCCCTTTTGAAAAGGATTGTGGCTCTGATGATAAATGTACTTGTGACCTGAAGCTGACTGTGAAAGCTGTTGATGTACCAAGGTAACCTATAATATATTTTAAAGGGTCAGTGTCGATAAACTGCTAAAAAGGATAGTTCACCTAAAAATGTAAATTCATTCAAATCTAACACAGTCTCATCCCAAGAAGTCATATAACTGACGTCTTGGGACGTCTTTTGACCATACGTCAACATCCGCCTTTTTAGGGTACCCTTAAACGTTATATGACGATCCCGGGCCGTCATACAACTGACGCTTTACCTTTAGCGTCGGCTAGATGACGGGTTAGGTTTAGGGGTAGGTTTAGGTCTGGGGTAGGGTTAGGATCGGATAACGTCATCTAACCGACGTTTAAGGGTACCCTAAAAAGGCGGATGTTGACGTATGGTCAAAAGACGTCCCAAGACGTCATTTATAGTAAATTCACCTTGTCGTGGGTGATATAATCATGTCGTTTCAATCCCTGTTTATATGTATAGTTTAAAGTATATCCCTGTATATATATATATATATATATATACACAAACAATGCTGGGTTGTTTTAACCCAAATTTGGGTCAAATATGGACCAAAATCTTGGGTTAAATATGTAATTTAAAATTTTAAACTAACTTCAGCTTTCACTTTCAACTGTACATTTTTTAGTTACCAAACATTTGTGTTTGTCCATATTTTACCCAAATTTGGGTTGATATATATATATATATACAGAATATAGGGTAGAAATATACAAATTAAAATGTGGACCAGTGTTTTTATTACTATTAAAGTAAAACTAATCAAAATTGTTTTTGTTAATTGAATAAAAAAAATAATAATAATAACTGAAAAACTTAAACTTAATAAACTTAAATGAAAATTAGAAATGGCAACTGACTGGAATTTTTAAAACTAATCAAAATGATAAAAGCAACCACATTACTAAAACTTAAACTAAAATGAAAAAGAAAACAGAAAAACTAAAATAACACTTAATCAGAAAAAAAGAAATCAGAAAAGAAATCTGTAAAACTCAAAAAGTAAAACTCTGTAAAACTCTGTCACAGACTGAAATGTTGTTCATATTTTATTTAATATATATTTATATTTCATTCATATTTCCACTGGGGTTTGTTAGTTGATAAAAAGCTAATACCTAAAATAAAATAAATAATCTAAGAATAAAAATAATCAAAATAAAACTTTTCCTAAAGATGTTTGAATCATATTTTCAGGGGATGCTCCAAGTAAATATTTAAGCTCAAATGGGTTCGGCTGCAAAAATATTTGTGAATCTCTGCCTTGAAGATGATAATTAAAGTGATCTTTCCAGGAGTTAACTAAAAATAATCAATTTCTATCCCCATGGCTATGTGCAATGTGCTATCAAAAAAAACAGAATCCTGACAGACTTTTGTGTTTTGCAGCTCATCTTCATTTGTTGTCAGCCCTGACAGAAGAAGACTCTCCTTCATTGTGACAGTAACGAACAGGAAGGAAAATGCATACAACACAAGAGTGTCTGCTAACTTCTCCAGCAACCTATTCTACGCCTCTATCACCCCCCCTGTATGGGCACCATTTTATGCTTTGACATAATAAATCGTCTCTGCTTTGTGTAACAGAAATTGCATCTGTGAACTTTCTTCCTCGTGTTTGCAGGGTGATGATAACACTGAGGTGAAATGCACTTCAAAAACAGGCTCACTTGACTGCAATGTTGGGTACCCATTCCTGGCGCCTGACCAGACGGTAAGAGAAGTGTGTGTGTACTGTATAAAAAATCTATGGAAAGTGCCCATATAACATGAATTTGTTTTCTTTAATAATTCCATTTTGTCTCATTAGGCAACATACGAGATCAATTTTGATTTCAACCTGAATCAACTAAACAAAAATGCTGTTGTAAACTTTGAAGTGCAAAGGTAAAGACACTACTTAAATAGTTCTGTTTGAACTTTTGTACATCTGTTTGTTTGGCCTGTGAATAACCCTGCATAATATTTTCCAGTGACAGTAAGGAGGAAGTGACATCTGATAACAAGGTCTCTTTATCCATCCCAGTCCAGTATGATTCCGAAATCATCCTCACCAGGTCAGGACTAATGTTATGATGCTTTTAATCAGATCATAATGTTAAAGTGTATATATATATATACACAACTTATATATATATATATATATATATATATATATATATATATATATGTTGTATATATACAACTCATTCTAATCCCAAGGCATCATATACAACACTTTTGCAAAAGCGTAAACATCCAATGCACATGGCACCCTTTAATGTCAAATGAGATGCTTCGGTTATGGTAGGTTTAGGTATGGGGTAGGGTTAGGGTTATACCACTAGGAGGCGCCTTATTAGGCCTTCTGCCCCATATATCTGCATCTCATTTGACGCTAAAGGGTGCCATGTGCATTGGATGTTTACGCTTTTGCAAAAGAGTTGTATATGACGCCTTGGGATGAGAATGGGCTATATATATATATATATATATTTTTTTTTTTTTTCTTGTATTTGAAAAATACATCTTTACAATTATTTTTCTAGAGACATAAGCTTGGATTATTGCGTCATTGGTCCCGAGGATCAAGTCAAACACACAGTCTCAGATTTCAATGACATCGGCCCAGAATTCAACATAACATTACGAGTGAGTCAAAACAATTAAAAATGTAATATCACACTAATATGTCCAAAGTTCCCCCTAGTGTTTGCAATGTGAAATATGCGATTGCAGTAGCTATTTTCAGCATGTCTTTCTGCAGGTTTCAACTGGAACCTTCCCAATCAATCAGGCTCGTCTGACAGTCTCGCTCCCCACCAGCACAAAGGCTGGAAACCGTTTACTATATGTGACTTCAGTCGAAACAGCACCTGTAAGTTTAACGCTCCATTCAAAAGTGTAGCTTCTATAGTTTTGCAGGGCAGTTCCTACAAATAAAGTGTTTCACTGCACATTATGCTGTATCAAAATGAAATTGATCATTTAAGCTGTGTTTCTGATACACAGGTTGTAAATGTGCGGTGTGACAGAGCTCTGATTGACCCGTTAAACATCAGAGAGAAACCCTACACTGCCAGCTTCGCTAAACTGAGCTTTAGAGGGACAACAGAACTGGTCAGTATGTGATTTACAGAGTGCAACATAGGCCTTCTTGCACAAACAGCACATACAATACATTTTACAAGTTTGGTGTCAGCATATCAGACTGATTTCTGAAGGATCATGTGACACTGAACACTGGAGTAATGATGCTGAAAATACTGCTTTGATCACAGGAATAAATCACATTTTAATATATATACTCAAATAGAAAACAGTTATTTTAAATTGGCATAAAATTTCACAATATTACTGTAGTTTTGAATCAAAAGCAACCTCGGTGAGTATAAGAGACTTCTTTCAAAAACATTGAAATGTCTTACTGAACCCAAACTTGTGTAACATACATTTTCAGAATTGTAAGGCGGCAAAATGTGAATCCATGACTTGTGTCCTCGAAGATCTGGAGATGAAAACCAGCTACTTTGTAAACATAACCGCAAGGATCTGGAACGGCACTTTTGCCTTTGTAAGTGTCTTTTGAAGTGTTTTATTATGTCCGATAGCAGATACTTCAGTTTACACTCATGTTTATCTTCTTCTAGGCGGATTTTCAGACTGTTTTAGTGGCTGGAAGCTCTGAAATAGAAACATCTCAGCCTGATCTCATAGTCGTCACACACAAACAACAACAGGTCAGTTCATTACCCTTTCTTTCAGTTGTTTGAGCAATGATCAACACTTCTGAAAAGAGTTGTTGCTTTTTAAGGTTGGCTTCAGTATGCATCCTGCTGGTTGACCACCAGCCGTTCTGTTCAATTGCAGAACTAATGGTGAAATTGGTTTACTACAGTATATGCGTGTTTTAATCTGCACATTTGTTGTTCTTTAAAACATCATACTTAAGAAGCAGAAGTTCAGACATGTTTCAGAGTTTACTTTGATACACCATTGTGAAATATGTAATGTATGTGTGTGTGGTTTTTGCGGAAACATTGATAAAAAAAATCATTTATTTGAGACAGAAACATTATAAATGTCTTTACTGTCCCTTTTTATCAATTTAATACATCCTTGCTGAATAAAAGCATTAATTTCTTTAATTATTTACTTTTGAATAGTATATCATATATTCCAAGGTTAAACCCTACAGTGGTATTGCCTTCATTGATATGCTTTATCTAATCTTTCCTGACTCCGCTGCAGATAAAAATTACAGTCAGTAAAGAAGGAGCGATTGGAGATATTCCTATTGGTGTTATCATAGGAAGTGTCATTGGCGGACTCCTCCTGTTTGTTCTCGCCACAGTGATTCTATGGAAGGTATGTGCTCTTTGTTTTAGCATGAACTACTTTACGACTGCACCAATTTTACAAAGTAAAATGCTTTCTAATAATATATTATAATATAATAAGAGATGTCAAAATGATTTTGGTTTAACTCGTTTATTATTTAATATTTAAAGCAGCATCCTTTGTGAAAATTCCCGTTTTGTCGAGTATTCTCATAAGCACAGTCTTAAATTAGTCAAAAAGTGTTAAAGGAGCATAAAGAGTTAAATAGGATGCGCGTCAGATCCGTGTCATCTGTGTCAGCTCTTAAAGTGACGGCAGCCTAATAAACCTGCTGCTGTCTGTGATTAATATTATTCAAAGAACAACAAAAAAAATCACTCACTGCTCTTGACTGAATAACTTTTGTAGCTTTAACAAGGATTAATCAGTATTACAGTTTTTCTCAATTGCTAAAACACAATTTCTGAAACCTTGCTCCATTTTCTGAAAACATTAAACACAAAACCTTATCATCAAGCACTATTTACAAAACCTCTGACTCCTCTTGCAAAATGAAACTTTCGCCTCAAAACAGTTTTACCTGTGTTCAAATTCAAACACTGCTCTCAAAACATAAACAAAGTGATCAAAACGCTATACACTTTCAAGTAGTCAGTAAACAATACAACAAAAAATTTAAAACACATTGTTCAAAACATTGTTCTCAGGGAGAACTATATGTCAAAATGACTCTCAAAACAAATTTCAAAAGGGACACATATGAAAGAAGTAAACATGTGATCAATGTGCTTCTTGTCTTTGGCCTGGGTCCAGAGCACTTCGTTGACATCACAAGCAGTGTTGTCCCTCCCCCCCCCCTTCCTCCTCCTCCTCCTCTTCTTCCTCTTTCTTGCCCTCATCATCTTCCTCTTTCTTGCTCTCCTCCTCTTCCTCTTTCTTGCCCTCCTCCTCTTCCTCCTTCTCTTTCTTGCCCTCCTTCTCTTCCTCTTCCTCTTTCTTGCCCTCCTCCTCCTCATTGCCCACCTCGCACTCGTCATCATCCTCTCAGACAGTTTCTTCAATCCATTCTCAGACTTTCTCCTTCCCACCTTCAACAACCTGTTTGCTCTCTGAACTGGCTTATATTGGTTGCGTCACATCATTTGAAACAGGTTGAATCAGTTTTGAGTGGTTGTGTTCAATCAAGTGACATTTGTTCTCTATTTGTATTTGATTGTTGCCACTTGTGTTTACCAGTATGGATGACATGTGAATTAGAGTGCAGAATGTGTCTTGAGAATGAGAATGTGTTCAGAGTTTAGCTGAAAAGTCTAAGTGAGATCTGCAAATTGTGTTTTACCATGTGAAATTGTTTACGGTATTGACAACAGACTCCACAATTAGCTAAATGAGTTTGGGCAACTGAGAACTTTGTTCAGCCAATGGATTTTAGTGTTTTAGCAATTGAGAAAAACTGTAAATCTATAATTTATGCAGTGACGACTGGGCTAGGAAAAATAATTTTATTGCATTTATTACAATTTTTTTGTTTTTTCAAAGCCTATTAAATTTTCAAATTGATAGCTATTATCTATACTGTAATGTTGAATAGCTATAATTAATGGCTAAAATTGAGGGAAAAATCCATAGAGACATCAGTTTGATATCAGTGATTCATAGTGCTTAGTAAAAAAAAAGATCCCATTAAAAATATTTAAAGTTTTTAAGTTGTTTCTACAATATTTAGAAAATTCAATGTGAAACTATTACAATATAAAAATATAATAAAAACGTTAAAGCTACACTGTGTGATTTTTACCCCCATCTAGTGGTGAAAAGGTATATTCTCTCAATTCCGATTTCGTTTTAACTCCTACGGTGGCCAATGTAGTCCAAGATTAAAGTCCCCGTGAACCGGAAGTTGCAAACGATTTTTCTCCAGTGCAGTGACGTATTTCCAAGTGAAACGGAATATTGAACAGAGGGCAGGATTTTACTCTAGCGCTCCTCCTCTCCATCTCTCGCTCATAGCAAACTAACGGTTTGAGGGGAGTGGTTAAGCGTTTCCCCACCCAAACTGTGAAGCCTACGTCATCAGAAAAAGAAACCGTTCCAGACCGGAAGTAACTTTTCAGATTTTGATTAAAGATTACTAAGGTAAAACATTTTTTTAATATATATTCACTTGCACGGATTAATTGTTCACCACAAGACTAGTAATATGCGCTAACAAAGTAAATAGGTTCAATTTTGATTTCACGGGGACTTTAACATGGCTTCCAGTTCGACCTCGTCCATGAGTGTTAACTCAAACTTAAACGCGAAAGGCGAAGCTTGAATTAATGGGAATCGACCTCGTCCATGAGTGTTAACTCAAACTTAAACGCGAAAGGCGAAGCTTGAATTAACGGGAATGTCCCTCTTTGGTTAATGTATTTTCAAGATAGAGGATCAACATGGCGACCGACATTAGAACCCCTTACCCATATGTATTTTCAATGGCATATTATACACTAACAAGAATACTTTATTACTTGAACGAAGTAAATGTACATATATTTTTGAAAGAACTAAGTGTTTTTAGCTAAGAATAAACTAAAAGAGTTACACAGTGTAGCTTTAATGTTAGGTGTGATTAATCACAATTAATTACAGATTGTGATTAATTACGTCATCTAATATTATCCTGATTTCCCACCAGGTTGGCTTCTTCAAGAGAAAGCGCTTGCCACAGACGGGGAATGGTCAGGACCAGGCAGAACAAGAGGGTCTGTGTGAGAATCCAGCATGAACGGGACACATGACAATGATGTCACCTCGAAATGTACAGATAAATAACTGATATTCAGTTTGCTGAAATTCGGGTCCTGCTGGAGGTCTCGGTTCTGATAATATCACTGTATTTTAAAGCATCTCACGAGTCACAACTGTTGGACTTAATCGCTCCTTGGCCTTGCTCAGTTGTGCTCCGTTCTCAAGCGTGGACAAATGAGTTTGTACTTGCATGAAGAATAGAGGGGGTTGGGTGAGATGCCTCTGTCAGTTCCTGTCTCGTTCTAACTTGCTTCAGTATGTTTATGGTTCTCAGTTAAAGCATATCAAAAACAAGTCTTTACATCATTTGAAGTTTGTCAATTGTCACTAACGTCCTGCTGTTTTAGTTTCAGACCACTGTTTCTGAGACGTTTAACTCGCTCATGGCACGAACTCACATACGATGACACGTGTTATATGTGAAATACTTATTATGAATGACTCTTGCTGTGACTATTCAAGCCCCAGGGGCAGATTAAATTATGTTCTTGGATTAATCCTTGTTTTTTGTTTGGGCATGATCTTCCCTTTTTCTCTTCCTTCTGGCTATTTCAACATACTTAGCATATTTTAAAGAGATTGATGCGCATTGTTATGGTTTTATTACACTCGTATTGTTGAGTAGTGGTCTCAAAGAGTCTCTAAGATGGTCTACAGCCTTCCTTCACTTAATAAAACCATAAAGTTGGTGTTTCATTAGTAAACTTTAATTTATGTTTGTGAATTATACCTAATTAAAAAAGAAAAAGAAAATATAGCCTATAAAAAAAAAATGTTGTCTGTGAAACGGGTCGGTTATACAGCCTATAATCACAGCTGTACTTTCTGTTTTTGCACATTTAACAATTAACTTTTTAATTTAAAAAACTGTGTGCGCCAACAGCTTTCAGAAAAAGCTTTTCATCATATTGTCACACACCATGTCGCAATGGAGGTCAACCTATTCAGTATACTTTTACCCTGCTTTTACCATACATGGTTGTTTTAATGTGTCAACATGGGCATTTTTTTTTTGTTTTTTGTTTTTTGCACTCTTGCTTTGAATTAAAGAAGCCTGCAAAACACTTGTTGTTGATGACAGGGAGATCATGCAAGAAGCTCACCCTCACTTGTATGACCTCAAAATAAAATCTAAAATTAAAATGTAACAATAGTGTAACAGAAATTAAGAATGGAATGATTTAATAATGCTAAATGATGTCCTGCTCCAGCTATCTGGACGTCATGGGTTGAGCTTGACCTCCAGCTCCACCTCTGGAGGAGGGATAGAGTTATGGGTGGGGTTATGGAGTGGTTGAACACATTATGACCAAATTACATCCAGAGAGGTGGAGCTGGTCTTCACTCCACCGGCTCTGCTTTGAGCAGCCTCTTATTCCTAGCACTGTTTCACACACACACACACACACGCACTCACACTGAACTAGATGCAGATACACTGGAGAGCTCACGTTAATGCTGGATATCACTGTGGACTTAAAAATGAACATGCTGCAGGTACTTCTCACTGTTCTGTGTAAGTAACTTATGCAAACATGCTAGTTTTTTTATTAATTCGGCCAAAATTGAATGACAACAGGATGATAAAACTCAGTGTATTTGAGAAAATAGTTTTCTTTTAATTTCTTGGGTCTGTGAGGAACAGATGTTTGTCTATTTTTGATCTGCACTGTATGATGTATATGTAAACTATATGCAGTTTGGCATTTCATCAAAGATGTTAGTTTGACCTTTAAACAAAAGGGTACTTTATAGGTGACTTTTCTTCAGCTTATTTTTTTAATAAGTTTTTTTAAGTGCATTTCTGTATGATTTTAAACATTATATATGTATAATATATACATATATATATATATATATATATATATATATATATATTGTTCAAATGTTAATAGCTGAATCATGCCATCTCAGTCTAAATGTGTAATTATATTGTTATATTGAGATTGACAGTTTTACAATTATTTTGCCCTGTTCTCCAGGTCTGGAAAGTACTAAATGTTTATTAGAAAAAAAAATTAATGCAGTATTGATTATTCAGTTTTTTACTGTACAAAATGAAAAAAAAATAACAGAGTTGACTGCTTAAGAAAAAGTAGACATTTAACTAAATTGAACAAATAGCATTTCATTTGTCATTTTTCAATAATTTTTGAATGTCTCATACATACATATCTCATGAAACAGATGACACAGATGGGTTATTTACAAGCAATAGCCTTATATATTCTAAAAGCCTTCTCCTACCAACAACTGAGGTCTGTGCACTTGACCCATATCTACTTACATGACGTATTTCCTGTTCAATTTGGCATGAAGACCGCAAGGGTGTGCAGAACTTTTGATACCTGATAATAGGACACAGTTATAGTGTTGAAAAAATGGAAATGCTTACAGAGCTTTATATACATTTGATTGGGTTTCCTGGGGGAAAAAAAAGTTACATTTTAAGTAGGGCCGTGCAAAAGTTAATTGCGATTAATCGCATCCAAAATAAAAGTCTGCGTTTACATATATATTTGTGTGTGCTGTATATAATTATTTTGTATATATAAATACACACACATACATGTATATGTTTAAGAAAATGTGTTATTCCTATATAAAATATTTATATTTATATAATATAGATTATGTATTTATATATATATATACAGAATTTAAGAGCAAATAATTCTTAAATATATACATGCATGCATAGGTATTTATATATACAAAATAATTATATACAGCACACTCAAATATATTATGTAAAACAGACTTTTATTTTGGATGCGATTAATCGCAATTAACTTTTGCACAGCCCTAATTTTAAGGCTTCGGCCTTTTTTGGAGGAAGTGTAACCCCTAAATGAAGAAGCCCAGCCCCGGAGGGTTAAACAAAAGCCCAAGCAAGGAGAATCCGATGGCAAAAAGAGAACGTGACAGCTCGTAATAAATCCAGCATCAACACTGGTTTGGCTTTTTGAAGATGGCAAGAACTGAGGGATTTAAAATGTTGTAAAAGCGATGCGGGGATGTTTTTTTTATTATTATTATTACTCAACAGCTGAGTAAAGTATTTTATTGAACAGAAAATTTGCCATATGTAGCTCTCAAACAGAGTTCGTAAAGCATGTAGCCTAAGGATTATTTCATTACGGTTGTAGCGCTGTGATGGAATTTATTTTCAAAGAAGTACTGTGTCTAATGGGTAAAGCTACAGTGATGTCTTCAGTCAGCTTGAGATTCTTTCCATCTAAACTGGCTTTATCTTTTAAAGGGATAGTTCACCCAAAAATGAAAACTCTGTCATCATTAACTCATCGTCAAGTTGTTCCAAATATCTACAAGTTTCTTCAGCCGAACACAAAAGAAGATATTTTGAAGAATTTTGGTAACCTGAGAGTTGACGGTTGAAATTGACTTTCATAGAAGGAAAAAAAATACTATGGAAGTCAATGGCTAACTGTCTGGTTCTTCTTTTGTGTTTAACAGAAAAAAAAGTTAACACTTTATTTTGATTGTCCACTTTAAGTCACTTTGCAGCTACATGTCAACTAAATGGCATTAGAGGGTTAGTAGACTGTTTGCTTAATATTTGCTAACACTTTATTTTGTTGGTCCCCCAACAGACATTCAATTGAGAAGTAACTTGAACTATCCCTTTAAATTTTGAAGTGACTCCTTTATAAGAAGTAGGATGACCAAACTTATCCGCAGTCACCAAAGCACAACCAAAACAATGTTCTTCTGCTAAATGCATGCAGTTTTGTTTTTCAACTGCTAGTTACAACAGTTGCAAATGTTTGTTGCAATGTTGCAAACAGTTGCAAGGTCTACCCATCTTTGCACCAGTAAAATGTGCAACACTTTTTACTACCAAAAAAATATGTAACATCTCATTAATTTAGCTTACAGTGGAATGTTTTTCTGAACATGATGGGAGCCTAGTGTGGGTTTAGTGTGCGTTTAAGGGCAACGAGCTTTGTTATTTTTAAGACCTGGGACAGTCTTTCGCACTTATCTCATGTTGCATGCACACACATGCATCTACAGTATAGTGGCAGAGATCGCATGTGTGGGTTTTTGAAAAGGCCCTATATATCTATTCCTTTTCTTCCCACGGCTCTCACCACCGCTCTGCTTGTCAAAATGGCCATATTCAAAACCAAAACCACTTTGAGGGTTATCATGATCGAAACAAAATGAGCTATAGCAACACAATTCATGAGTATTTTGATTGTCATTTGCATTCAATTTCATTTTCAAATGTTTGCAATAAAGTTAAAGGGATAGTTCACCCCAAAATGAAAATTCTGTCAATAATTGAAGAGTTCAGATGCAAAAGCCTCTAAATGCCATTTGAAATTTTCTTCTTTAATGATAATTTTTAGCAAACTTGTATATTTAAGTTCAGTAATTTCACTTAAATAACAATTAATAGGTAATTATCATTGCCATTTAAGTGAAATTACTGAACTTAAATATACAAGTTTCATAAAAATCATCATTAAAAAAGAAAATTTCAAATGGCATTTAGAGGCTTTTGCATCTGAACTCTTCAATTACTCATGTTGTTCCAACCCCCGATGGTTTTTTTGGTTACACTTTCTTTCGATAGTCCACTTTAGACATTCTACTAACTATAAGTAACTTTCTAACTACATGCCAACTATTATTAGAGTATTAGGCTGTAGTACACAATAGTTGTTAGGGCTCGGGTTAGGAGAATAAGTTAACATATAGTTGCCAAGTTAATCAGTAGAATGTCTGTTAGGGGACCAACAAAAAAAAATATTTGCAAATATTAAGCAAACGGTCTACTAATCATTTTTAGACTGAAATTTGGGCAAAGTATCTGTGTTGTACGTCACACGCATCACACATGACCAGCGTCGGCCAATAGTGAGCCTACGTGTGACGTACAACACAGAAGCTTTGTGTTGTTTTTCTTCGTGAAATCTCACAGCCCACAGAGAAGGAAATTAATAGTTGAATAAAGTCGTTATTTGTTTTTGTTTTTTGCGCACAAAAAGTATTTTCGTCGCTTGATAAACTTAAGATTTTATTGGCCGGCAAGTTTCGATCCCTTTAGAAGCCTATGGAGAAGTGATCCAGCTCTCAGATTAAATAAAAATTATCTTAATTTATTGATAATTTTATTTTATTGGTTATATTGATTTTATTGTTTCATTTTATGGCTTTTATGGCTTTTATATATGTATTGTTTTTACTGTACAGCACTTTGTGTCCAAATTTCTTTTTGGAATCTAAAGTGCTCTATAAATAAAGCTTGCTTGCTTGCTTAATTTGTGTTCTGGAGTTAAACGAAAGTCTGACAGAATTTTCATTTTGGGGAGAACTAACACACACAGTAAAGAGAAAGACCTTTTAGTGTTGCAGCGTTTGATATTAAGTTATTTAACATTTACTGTACAAGTTTATGTTGTGTTGAAGTTTCTGTGGTTACCATTTTGCTGAAGAGTAACGCCTTGTCCTAACCAGAGGCCATGCAATAAAATTACAGTGACAAGACAATTTGTCTGTCCACACCAACCAAATCAATATAAAAATCACAGCCAATCAGAAAATCGTGTGGGTGTAGAGTATCTCTATCAAATTCCTATATATTAGCCTACAACAATTTAAAATTATTAAAACCACACACTAGGTGACAGAAATAATCTTTGTCATAAGATTGAATACACTTGTTTGTTCTCATTGAGTTTGAAAGTTAACATGTTTTTCATTTATTTCGTTGCGTCACAATGTATATTTATTTTCTCGTCTGACACGATGTAAGAGCCTTTGGTCAGCTTGTGATTGGCTGGCTATGTGTTGTTATGATAGCTTAATATTTTATTCAATCAGCAAAAGTGCTAATGTAAATGCACATTAGTTTTAATTTTTTTTTTTTTTTGCCTTTGCGTGCTAAATAATGTCAAATTTCATATGCAAACATGCTATGCTAACAATTAATTTGAACTGAATCAGGTAATTAATCGGTGGTTCTTACACAGGAGTGGACACTGCTTTAGTCACAATCTCAAATTTACACTAATTACAACATGTCATGAACATACACTCAAGGTCCTTGGCATCAGTGGTTCCCTATTGAGTGTTTAACATCCATGGAACCTTTCCATTCCACTTACCATAGTGGTAAATATATATAAATGGTTCTTTTTCATGGGATCGTTGTAATTAGTGTGTTTGTTTAATCCAGATTAATATAGTAATCATCCCACATGAACCCACACAAAGTTCAAAACATTGTGGTTAAAATGGTGTAGGAACAGGATGCTTGTCGAAGTCATTGTCCGAATGGTGTCAAAGATCAGTGTGGGCACTGGACTGGAAACACATTCTCTCTCTCTCTCTCTCTCTCTCTCTCTCTCTCTCTCTCTCTCTCTCTCTCTCTCTCTCTCTCTCTCTCTCTCTCTTTAACCCCCCGTCTGACCTCTCTTTTTTTTGTCTTCGCCCCATGTTCATGCTTAATTCGTCTCGTTTCAAGTCCGCACACACTGTTTAAAGGCTCTCTTTGTGTGATGACTGACTCTATAAGTAATGAATGGAGAACTCTGTAAGAGGAGATACTAGGCCTATATGTTCCTTCATCCATGGTGTTATGAACTGTGTCGCAGCTCAGGCATATTTTTAGCGCTTTATCCCTTTTTACCGAACTGCAGATTAAAATGATAATATATACTGAGACGGCCAGGATTAAGATGCAGATGCGCGGGGAGCTTTGAGAACACAAGTTGAGTCATCAGAGATAAACCCTGTTCAGGCATGTTTTTACATTTCATGAAGCTCTAAATCAACATGAAGTCAAAATCTATCTTTTAATTTATATGTTTTTATTCAACATAGTATCAGTTAGGTGCAAAGGAATTAAAATTTCTACATTTTCAAAAACGTCTCACAATTTTTCAACAATGGGACCTGCAAATAATACACAGTAACAATTGAAATGTCAATCAGAAAAGGTATAAGAGTCAATGACATGATGCTCTTTTCTTAATGCAATTCACACATAAAAAACTTCATTTTGGTTAAAATGTACATTCATGTTTTCTTGAGGACATAAAGCTTTATTAAAAAGATTTGATACTCTTATTTCCTTAAGTAATTCCTATATTATTTGCAAAAAATGCAACCTAAAAATCATAACATGTAAATGAACTGATTTATTCATATGACCACACTCATGTCACTGACCCATAAAGTGCTTGCAAAACACAGAGAGGGTTATCTGTGTTTATGACTAAATATTGTTTACTACTGTATCTCCAAGAATCCCCACATCAAAGTTTTCCTGCACAATCACTCATGGGTTCACATTCATGCTGTGGCATGCCTATATCACATACATATTAAAAAAAAAAAAAAAGTTTCAGAGAATCAGTTCAAGTTTTCAAAGTTTCAGTTTCAGAGGATAGGCTACTTGCTTTGACCCTGAGGGGGATGATTTGACTACACATGATGGTGTAAATATGACGAACCAGCAAAGGACAACAAACACAGGGAGACTGAGAGTAAACAAAGCAGGTAAAGATTGAGGACAGGTGGGGCAAATGAATCAATAATCAGATGACAAGATGGATGGGGTTAGACATGCATCATACAGACCCTGGCAGTATAATGCAGCGTGTCAGACCAGATATGTTGTTGGTATAATGTGTATTTGTTAAGACAAAGGGCTGATTTGTGCATGTCTCTACAGGTTTCAGCATCAATAACTCTCAGGGTTTTAATGTGCGGACTTCTGGAGCTAAGATCCTCTCAGGGTCAGCAGAAGAACAGTTTGGTTACTCTGTACAACAGTTCAGCAACGGTCAAGGAAAATGGTAAGATTTGTAAAATACAATGGGAATTGCGTGCTATTTCTTTAATTTGTAGTTTTAGTTTTATTTGAGAATAGAGCAATACTCTTAATTTTCAGAACACTCTACTCTACAGAAGGAAGGTTTTATATTCTAACATGTTAAACTATATCCCACTTCTCAAGTTATATTGGATTTAAAGGGAAGTCACGTGACCGCAACAGGCCTGTGACATGCTTAGGGCCCTATACATTCTGATTATTTTTTTTCTCAAATTCCTTTTTATTTATTTATTTATTTTCCAAATTCTTTTTTTTTTCTTCTTCTTCTGGGATCAGTTTTTTTTTTTTTACTTAAATGGAATTTTTTTTTATCAAAAAGCATAATTAATTTAAATCGTGAAACTTATACAATTTATCAACATTTTCACACACAAAAAAAATTACACAAATTCCGTTTATTTTATTTTTTATTTTTTCTGGACTTAAAAAACATGTAATTAATTGTGAAACCTTTTTTCAACGATTTATGGATTTCATTTTTTTTTTTTTTCCATTTTAATTTTTCTGGTCTTAAATGAAATTTTAGTCCTCAAAAACGTATACGATTTCTCAACAACTGTGAAAATCTGTGTTTAACAGTTATATTTTTCTGGACTGATTTTTTATTGGTTTAATTACATTTCAATAATCAAAATCCACGTCTAATCAATTGAATTCTTAAAAATGTAACAATAACTTATTGACCTTTTACAATAATTGAGCTCTGAAATGTTTTATTTTTTCAGAAATTGTGAATTTGAAATTTTTCTGGATTCAGGATTGAATTATCAACTATGGTAATCAAATAAAGACATAACAATTAACAACTTAAAACAGCTTTTAAAATATAATCAAATGAAAAATAAACAATTCATGCAAGCACAGGAGAGATTTACTTCAAAAGCCCTAGTTTTGAATTTATTCATCCAAAAGTTTCATCCAAGTAGATTCCCCATTTTCCACATTGCGGAAATCATAGGACCATTTCTGCTGCCCTGATGTATGCATGCACACTTGCACACACACTCTGATAGCTGATAGCTCTTTTCCCCTGGTTTCACTCCACTCAATACACAACACACACACACACACACTTCCTGTGCTCATTAAATTTGCCTGCATCCGGGAGATCGCAATAATTCTTTAGAATCGGCAGGGAAATGGGTTTCCTCATTCCCAGATAATAGCTACCAACATGATCTAAAACAACTGCAATGAGTCACACAATTGTTGGTACTACAACTTTTCCTCTAAATCACAAATAAAAGTTTCATCCAAACTGTGCACAACTTCCCTAAACATTTGCTAACACTATACTGACTGCAGTGTCACTGTATCATTTGTTCTGGTCATAAAGCATGTCATTGTGTTCGCATATGGCCTTCACCGTCTAGACAAGCTTTATGAGAGTATTTCTTAACGCTCCCCGTGTTGTGCAACGGGTCAGATGAGGCACTTCCTGCTCAAGCGTGGGCTGCTGCATTGGGCGATATCATGTTTGTTAGATGGCTCATGCTTTTGTGAATGCTGCTGATGTCATCGTTCTCACTGTGAGTCCAGCATTAGCTCCGTCTGACTGATCAGGTTTGGCCTCCCAAACACATAAGAGACCCCTAAAAGACATTTCCATAGACAATGAGTCATTATTACGCAGTCTGTTGCATCTATTCAGATGTACTTTGAATATTAAACATCAGTTTCTGAAAAACCCTGAACTTTCCTTATTTAGAATCCTATTACTTCTCTCATTTTTTTTTTGTGACTATTAATTGAGGTAGATAAACCTTAAATCTTAAATAACAAGTGAAATTGCTTAACCAACTTAAATATACAAGTTTGATAAAAATCATGATTAAAGAAGAAAATTTCAAATGGCATTTAGAGGCTTTTGCATCTGAACTCTTCATATGTGTGTGTGTGTGTGTTGAATTGTTTATAAATATTTACTGTACATACATATATTTGCTGTTGTGCAATGTGTCTGTTTAACAAGACACTGTCTTTTCTGTCTCAGGATAGGAAGTGAGTGAGTTTGTGTGTCAGTGTTTGAGGAATGCTGTGTATAGTCTGGGCAGAGCACCTTATCACATTATGGTGATCTAGCAGTGATATTCTGTGTAATTTAGTAGGTGTGCTTAGATTATATATTGGATGTTCAGTGCACCTACACATGTAATCTTCAGAAACACACCCTACTGGGCTACTGTTCATTAAATCTGTTTCTGCAATCATGTCTTGAATATCCTTAAAAACTGCTATGTGTTCCTGCAAACTCACCTGAACCTGTACTTCAGGACAGCAGAACTAAATTAACACCTAAAACTGTTCCTCAGGCTCCTCGTGGGTTCTCCGTGGAAGGGATACAATCAGAATCGGAAGGGAGAAATCTATAAGTGTGAGCCTAACAAACCTGGAACCAGCTGTCAGGCACTTAACCTTCAGAGTAAGCTAACATTTCCCATCATTCCCAGTGAGATACAGCAAAAAGTGTTATCTGTTCATAGAGCAATTTCTTATGCTGTGAAGCTCAAAAGCAAATTCTTGGATTTTGATAAGTATTCAAGAAATATTATGAAGTAAAAGATGAAGATGTCACCATGTTTAATATGCCCTCAGATTCAGTCGATATGCCAAAAATCGCCAACAACAACAACATCAACATCAACATGAGTCTAGGTCTTACTCTAACTCCAACGACCAAAAACAGCGGGTTTATGGTAAGACTGATGCATTGCTGGCTCATTGGATAAGCTTGCCTCTACAAAAATGCAAAAACGTAGGCTACCTAGGCTATACATAGCCTACAATGCAATGTATTTTCTTGCAGAAATGAACACTAGAGGCAGTAAAAACTGTACACAAATTATGATTACAGGGGCAGATTATCAGTTAATAAAGACGTCTTTTTCTGCAATTGTAGGCTACTATATTATGATGTCAAAAAAGGATGATTTTGTAAACTAATAGATTTTGACTTTTGCTTCTCATAGTCATCTCCATTTGTGGCTTTTCTTATGTGGTAACTTGCTCGGTAACTCACCTGGAACATCACACTTGAGATACGTCAAACAGGATTCACGATAAGAGAGCTCAAAGATAAGATGAAATGCCATTGTTGCTTCAGCAAATGTGTTCTAATCTCACGTTTGCTTTAATTGACACTATGTATGTTATTTTCAAACTCAATAGAGCATTAACCTTGTAGCGAATTTCCTTTCCCGAACTGTCGCCATATCCTACAACAACCAGCGTTGTCAGATTCACGTTCATCTGTTTTAGATAAAACTGAATGCTCCAGTCCCTGAGACTTTCACTTTGAAATTTCTGTAAATTGAGAAGCCATTTAATGTCATTTTGCAGAAATGATAAAGGTTTGTACATACATTTTACATAGATTTTCTATTATTGGCACCTGCACTAAGAGAAGTTCCTTGTTTGTTTGTAATAAGAATTAGAGATTAATTTTAAATTTATTTATTTAAAAAGAGATCACAAATTATTCTCCCATGATTTTGAATAGGAAACTAAAAAAAAAAAATAACAAGCAATTTACTAGAGGTTCTGACAAAATGTTAATTGCTGCTGCACCAAAAATTCGTCTTGAATGAATGATTCAATAACTCCAACACGGTATCATGACAAGACGTGAAATAATCACGTTGGTCCACACTTTGGAAAACGTGTAGATGTCACGGTATAACCCCCTCAAACGTGAAACTTACACGTGTTAACACGTTCCAGTGGAGAGATACCCGGATGTTGACCTATTCTAATCGCCTCTGCCATAAGACCGATTGGTTTTCATTAAACAGAGAAAAATGGAATTTTGTTTTATTGACGATCACTGAGAAATGTTCAATTATTTATTTGGCAAAAAACATGTATTATTTTCAAGGTGAAAATGATTCATTTGCCTTGAACCACGCTGAAAAAAAACGTCTAAATGTCACGTTTTTAATGAAGCAGCCTAAATGGTCCACTTTGGAAAACGTGTAGATCAGGGGCGTTTCTAGGTTTCAAAAACATCAGGGACTGAACCCGAAACATCAGGGGCTGGGGTGGGGAATAAGATAGCATGATTCGATACAGAGAATAATGCATATTGCAGGCCTATATGCAGCGGCAGACTGGCATCCCTGGCACTGTAACCATACCAGCCCACATTACCACACAGTCACACACAAAGGTGAGGAAGTTAGGGGGATTCGGGGGCATACTCCCCCGAGAAAATTTGGATTTCTCAGACCTACATGTGTGCATTTTAGGGTGTTTAAAGGTCATAAAAATGGTATAACAATAGCTTTAAAAGTATGTCAGTGGGCACTGGCAGTAGCATAAAAGATGACAGATTCTTAAATATGAGAATGAGGATAAATGTTGAAATGAATGATCCACGCTTTGATGCAAATGCAGAATGTTTCTGCTTATTGTTGACAATACACAATCCATATTCCTAACAGGAATGGCCTTAATGAGAAATCTTTCAAGGATTATTTTGCATGGCCTAGATGAATTTCAATCAAACACCAGTGCAATCTTTTTGTGTCCACACGAAAATGAGCAATTTATGTATTAGCATTAAAGATTGGTTTCAGCAACTTGTTTCTTTCTAAGGTTAGATAATCAATTTTTTTGGCACTAATCTGTTAAGTTAAAGTTAAATTGTTCACTCATAAAGACACTTGTCGCCACCTACTGACTTACTTAATAATGCAAGTTGGGCAAACACAGACAAGCAGAGTGATAAATTGTGAAAAGGCTGATACTGGTGAAATATTTGAACACATTCGAGGACCATACAAATATATATACTTAAAAATGTTATACTAAATATATATTTATAAATATATATTTATATACTAAATATATATTTATGCTAATGAATTGAGCTTATAGTTCTAGACCCTTCCAGAGCTGAGATATCGAAACTCAAAAATTCGACCCGAAAAAAAAACGACAGTGGTACCCCTTTCGTGTTTTTTTTTTCGGGCGAAAAATTAAGTTTCTCCAATCTTCTCAAAACTCTGGATTCTGATAGAGGGCCATGAGACTTTGACCTGAGTGCAAAAATGGAGGCTCTAGACCCTTCCAGAGCTGAGATATCGAAACTCAAAAATTCGACACGAAAAAAAAAAAACGACAGTGGTACCCCTTTCGTTTTTTTTTTTCGGGCGAAAAATTACGTTTCTCCAATCTTCTCAAAACTCTGGATTCTGATAGAGGCCCATGAAACTTTGACCTGAGTGCAAAAATGGAGGCTCTAGACCCTTCCAGAGCTGAGATATCGAAACTCAAAAATTCGACCCGAAAAAAAAAAACGACAGTGGTACCCCTTTCGTTTTTTTTTTTCGGGCGAAAAATTAAGTTTCTCCAATCTTCTCAAAACTCTGGATTCTGATAGAGGGCCATGAGACTTTGACCTGAGTGCAAAAATGGAGGCTCTAGACCCTTCCAGAGCTGAGATATCGAATTCGATATTTGAGTTTTTGAGAATTTTTGAGTTTCGATATCTCAGCTCTGGAAGGGTCTAGAGCCTCCATTTTTGCACTCAGGTCTAAGTCTCATAGCCCTTTATCATAATCCAGAGTTTTGAGAAGATTGGAGAAACTTAATTTTTCGCCCAAAAAAAACGTAAGGGGTACCACTGTCGTTTTTTTTTCGGGTCGAATTTTTAAGTTTCGATATCTCAGCTCTGGAAGGGTCTAGAGCCTCCATTTTTGCACTCAGGTCAAAGTCTCATGGCCCTCTATCAGAATCCAGAGTTTTGAGAAGATTGGAGAAACTTAATTTGTCGCCCGAAAAAAAAAAAAACGACAGACCCTTACGTTTTTTTTTGGGCGAAAAATTAAGTTTCTCCAATCTTCTCAAAACTCTGGATTATAATAAAGGGCTATGAGACTTAGACCTAAGTGCAAAAATGGAGGCTCTAGACACTTCCAGAGCTGAGATATCGAAACTCAAAAATTCAACCCGAAAAAAAAAAAAAAACGACAGTGGTACCCCTTACGGTTTTTTTTTCGGGCGAAAAATTAAGTTTCTCCAATCTTCTCAAAACTCTGGATTATGATAAAAAGCTATGAGACTTAGACCTGAGTGCAAAAATGGAGGCTCTAGCCCCTTCCAGAGCTGAGACATCGAAACTCAAAAATTCGGCCCGAAAAAAAAAACGACAGTGGTACCCCTTACGTTTTTTTTTTTGGGCGAAAAATTAAGTTTCTCCAATCTTCTCAAAACTCTGGTTTATGATAAAGGGCTATGAAACTTAGACCTGAGTGCAAAAATGGAGGCTCTAGACCCTTCCAGACCTGAGATATCGAAACTCAAAAATTCGACCCGAAAAAAAAAAACGACAGTGGTACCCCTTACGTTTTTTTTTTTGGGCGAAAAATTAAGTTTCTCCAATCTTCTCAAAACTCTGGATTATGATAAAGGGCTATGAGACTTAGACCTGAGTGCAAAAATGGAGGCTCTAGACCCTTCCAGAGCTGAGATATCGAAACTCAAAAATTCAACCCGAAAAAAAACGACAGTGGTACCCCTTACGTTTTTTTTTTTGGGCGAAAAATTAAGTTTCTCCAATCTTCTCAAAACTCTGGATTCTGATAGAGGGCCATGAGACTTTGACCTGAGTGCAAAAATGGAGGCTCTAGACCCTTCCAGAGCTGAGATATCGAAACTCAAAAATTCAACCCAAAAAAAAAACGACAGTGGTACCCCTTACGTTTTGTTTTTTTTTGGGCGAAAAATTAAGTTTCTCCAATCTTATCAAAACTCTGGATTATGATAAATGGCTATGAGACTTAGACCTGAGTGCAAAAATGGAGGCTCTAGACCCTTCCAGAGCTGAGATATCGAAACTCATAAATTCGACCCGAAAAAAAAACGACAGTGGTACCCCTTACGTTTTTTTTTTGGGCGAAAAATTAAGTTTCTCCAATCTTCTCAAAACTCTGGATTATGATAAAGGGCTATGAGACTTAGACCTGAGTGCAAAAATGGAGGCTCTAGACCCTTCCAGAGCTGAGATATCGAAACTCAAAAATTCGACCCGAAAAAAACGACAGTGGTACCCCTTACGTTTTTTTTTTTGGGCGAAAAATTAAGTTTCTCCAATCTTCTCAAAACTCTGGATTCTGATAGAGGGCCATGAGACTTTGACCTGAGTGCAAAAATGGAGGCTCTAGACCCTTCCAGAGCTGAGATATCGAAACTCAAAAATTCGACCCAAAAAAAAAACGACAGTGGTACCCCTTACGTTTTTTTTTTTTTGGGCGAAAAATTAAGTTTCTCCAATCTTCTCAAAACTCTGGATTATGATAAAGGGCTATGAGACTTAGACCTGAGTGCAAAAATGGAGGCTCTAGACCCTTCCAGAGCTGAGATATCGAAACTCAAAAATTCGACCCGAAAAAAAAACGACAGTGGTACCCCTTTCGTGTTTTTTTTTCGGGCGAAAAATTAAGTTTCTCCAATCTTCTCAAAACTCTGGATTCTGATAGAGGGCCATGAGACTTTGACCTGAGTGCAAAAATGGAGGCTCTAGACCCTTCTCAGAGCTGAGATATCAAAACTCAAAAATTCGACACGAAAAAAAAAACGACAGTGGTACCCCTTTCGTTGTTTTTTTTCGGGCGAAAAATTACTTTTCTCCAATCTTCTCAAAACTCTGGATTCTGATAGAGGGCCATGAGACTTTGACCTGAGTGCAAAAATGGAG